AAAGTGAACCATGATTCAGGTCAGCTCTGGTTTCTCCTTCTCCGATCCTATGACCTATAGGTATCCACTCACGCTTAGCCCCAGTGGGCACGTGGTTCAGTTGAGAGAGGAACTGAGGTATTAAATAGGTGGTTCTGTTGTGGCTTATCATCACCGAACATAAATGTTACTTTTTGTTTTTTTCAAATAAAGACATACAGTTTGTTATTGTTAGCAGTTTAACCTAGCTTCTGCATTTTGTTTTAATAAATGTGGACAAGTGGGTGAAACTGCACTGAGGTCAGTATTTTAATGTGCCCTAAAACGATGTAGTAATGAAATGCTTGGAGCTTTATAGGCCTTAGGACAGGATGAGGCGGCTTGTTTCGTTTAGTCATTTCATTAGTTTTTATTAAAAGTTGAAGGCTGCCAGTAAGTCTGCCTAACCCCCTTATGAGTCTGAGTCAACAGTCTCATACTGATGATGACAAAGAAAAATAGCATTACCCCCCTTATCATCCCCCTGATTTTCTTCAGTCATCGTCTCTTCATCACGGCTCTCTGCCTTCTTCTCACTTTGCCTTCTCGGGTTCTGACAGGAGCAGTGGGTTAAAGAGAAGGTGGGGGTGTGTGTGTGTGTGTGTGTGTGTGTGTGGTTGGGGGGGGTGTTGCACGGGAAACGGGGAGGCACAGGGTGGATGTTTTTGGCCCTGTGTGTGAGGCCTCGCACAGAGGGGTTCTTTGTGCGTGCGGTGCGTCTGGAGAAAGGCGCACATGCACATGTGCACGCTCGGCTCATGACATCACAGCTCACCGTGCAGCCGACAGGAATGTTGCTCAGAGAGGAGAGGCTTTGTGGAGGAGAGGAAAGAGACGGGAGGGGAGGAAAAGGAGGAGAAGAAGAGGAGGAAAAGGCTTGGCCAGGGAAAAGTCCGGCACTCCCACTATCTGGAACAAGCACGGACCGGGGCCGGACAAGTGGACAGAAGTGAAGGGGAAAACGGATGAAGCTTAAGAAAAGAAGACTCACAGATCGAAGAAATAACGGCTGTGGTCCAAATTGAAAGGGGGAGATTTCTTCTTTTTGCTGAGTCCAGCGTGGAGCTACTGATATCACTGAATTACAATACTGGTACAACTAAAATAGGAGTGGGTGAGTGGTAAATATATTTGTTTGTTAAATGTGCCTCATAAAATCTCTGTAATTTATTGAAAACAATATTCTGTTCAGTTTATCTGGTATAGGTTTTTGTACCAACTAAAATCCAGGCAGCCAAATATAAACATGAATACTGCAAAAGACTGAGTTACTACATCAGAAAGAGAAGATATCCGGTCAGAAGACACGAATGATTCATTGTATCTGAAAGTATCGATGTCAAAGTTGACACGCTGCTGCGCTTGTCGAGATGTTGCAACAGAATTTGGAGCTGCACGTTTTTGTTGATGTCCAGCTGTTAGCTCCCTCCGTCAGCCAAACAGCAGACCCATGGGCTGGCCATCTCTGTTGCTTAGCATTTTCCAGGAGGGGATTTCTCTGGAAGGGGAAATCTCTCATGGAGGGGGAAACCAATCCTGAACACTCACTGGCCTGGGTTCACTACCCAGCCAGCTTGAATTTGAGAGCTACACCTGCAGACCAGCTCCTGTTTCTGTTCAGGATCGTGTTTAGCCAAGAAACAGAGCCAGTAATGCCGACTGGCTCCTGGAGCCTGGTAGGTGTGCACACGTATTTCTGCCAGAAGCTGTGTATTAGTGCACTTTCACTTTAATTTCGCCATGTCTTTCAGCTGGTAGTGGCCAATTGCCGCCTTATAAGATATTAAAGGATGTCCTTGGATTGCTCACATGTGGTTGCATTTCCGCGCAGAAGGGATTAGACATATTCTTGTTATGGTGAACGTCTTTTAGTGGACGACCCCACTCCCCACCCCCCTCCCTTGCCCCAGCATCTCAGGCATGCGGCCGAGTTTGTATGTTCAGGCGCAGTGTGTGCGTGAGCGTTTGCGTATTTTGTACGTAATGGTCAGAGTCTAAGCGTTTCCAGATGTGATGGATGGAGACAGATGGAGAATGAGACAGCATTTACTCCCAGAGCACCGCAATGAGACTGAGCTGACTCAGAGAAGATTGACTCACAGTTTTTGCACAGATTCCATTCAGTCTTACATCTTTTCGTGGCAGCTATGGCCCCCCCTAAGCTACCTGAATGTGAGCGGATCTGTCCTTTTACGTTTAGTATTATTCTGGCTTATTTCCGCTCTGATATTCGCACACACTTTGCTGCTTTAGCAGCACACACAGGGTGTACAGTGTCTCTCAACACTGGTGTTGCAGCCTCAGCCTTGAGGACAGCATGCTATGCCCGGAATGTCAGCTCACCTCAGCCAGAGTCAAAAACACACACACGAATACACACCTGCTGAAAAGAAGCACTCATTTGAACATACATACGGAGCTGCACAGCTCCAGTTACTTACAACTTCTTTTAAGTGTATGTGAAAGAGAATGGTGCCGCATATGAGACATTCCTGTACTTTAGCACTGTTTTCCTGAGGCAGTAACAGGATATCCTCCCCCCCTCTGTACTGTCCACTGGACGCACACCCCCACACAAACACACACGCAGAGTTTGCTGCACGTGAACACACATGCATGCGTTGCGTTAACAGTGGGGGAAATAAGGAGACTGAAGATCTCACCTGCGAGAAAGTGAAAAAATCTGCGATGCGTGGTCACGACACAGCACGCCCGACACAAGGAGGGAAACAGGGAGTTCCAGAGGTGAAAATTACACAGCATTTTAAACACTGTTCAGTGTAAATCACAGCGGTTTGGACAAAGGATTCCCCTGTGGTCTGGACTGCAGCTATTGCAGTCTCATACATCACCCTCTGAGAAACCCCCTAATTTTCCAATGCATACTGACAACTGTGTCTTTTAAACAGAACAATAACCACAATAAGGGCTCATTTACAACCATCCTGGAAAGCGTGTAAGATGCTGTGACGTTATGGTTATATGTCACAAGTGCAGGAGACAGATTGTGGAAATTGCACGGGGGTTGGATTTGCAGGGGCCACTACTTTAGTAGGGGGAGTACTGGTGAACTACACTACAGTTTAGCTTTGCAGATAATGTGCAAAAAATGGGTTCTACTGGACAAACACTGATCATTATGTGCAGGCACCTGTGGGACACATGATCTATAAAGCTTTTGTGATCTGTCATTTATCAAAAAAAGGGAGAAATCCTTTATTTTTTACTTCAGTTTGATCTGAATTCCTTGACATGAAGCTCCTGATTAAAACATATTAATTTAAGAGTGAGAAAGAATCATGTGACGTGGTGCAGTTTAATCTTCTCCAAGAATCTGCTAACCTGTGTTTGGATGTAATCCGTTATAGTTTTAAGAATAAAAGACGGCTGTAAATATCTTGTCTGCTTCTGTTTAGCCTGGGATATAAGTCCTCCTGAGATACAAAAACAAACAAACTTTAATGTTTGATATAAAACAGATTTTTTTTCTTATGGCTCATACAGAGAATATAACTGTGGTGTGAATTTGTGCATCAGCACACTTGAAGTTATATATTTTTCATTTCCCGAGACAACACAAAGGGAAGAATTTGCATGTGACTGAACCCGATGGGTCACCAAAAGGCCCACGGAGCTTTTTCAGAGGAGGGAGGCGACAGGAATATAATGTAGAGGAAATCATTACTTCATTCTTAGAGAGACTAAAAGCAGCAATAATCCTCCACGTGACTTCACTGGCCACAGTTTCTGCAAAAGAACATTCTCAGAGAGGAGAGAGGAAGGAACACAAAAAGAGAGGAGAAAAGGGAAGATTGATTCTTCTCCTGAAATCTGATGCCAGTCTTGTAAAATCCTTAAAGAAATGTGTAACGTCGGTCCCAATTCCCATAAATCCAATAATACGACTGTCAAGTTCTGTGGCCAGGGCTTTTTAAGTGAGGTGCTGAAAAGCCCCTTCTAATGGCCGTATATACTTTATTTGTACTGTGAATTTACTGAAGTGATCCTCATTAACTGCCCGCTTACACTCACTCTCTCTCTCTCTCTCCCACACACACGCACGCACGGATTACAAAGACAGAGGTCAACGACTCCTCCTAGAAATAAACACATCCTTAAGGAAGAGGTGTAATGTGTACAAGGTCCTAAAGAGGAAAGCCAGCAGAGTGTTTGCCAGTGAGCCACAGACAGACAAAGACAGGTCATAAAGGCAGGAGAGTGTAAATGCAGCTACTCTCTAACAGTGGCTCTGGAATGTGTGGAATGAATGGCTTACTGGAGCAGAAGGTCTCAGGTCTGACTCCTGTATGATGATGTGTATTGGTTTTGTTCTTTGATTGATTTCAGGATCAGAGAAATTATGACAAAAAGTAACAATTAAATTTGAATTATTTTAAAATCCGGTCCTTTGGGGTGACTATGGGAGAGAATGCGTGTAACAGAGCGTATTGAGCTCTAAAGCTGAAGGACACAGAGTGGTTCTGGTAGCATTTTCTTTGCATAAAATCAAAGAAACATCATATTAATCTAATCAAAATATAAAACCCTGTTGTAGTTTTTCTATTTAAACATTTTTATGTTAATTAAAGAAGTTCAAGTGGAGGGAAAAGTTTCTGCATACATTTTTTTTTTGCCTGACAGGTATCCATCTTAAATATCAATTTACGTACCTGTAAGGGTCACTTTAAAACGATATAAAAGAACAAGTTCTGGTTGAAGTTATGTTCAAAGTAACTGAGTATTCTTTGTTGCCCCCTAGTGGTACATTTCAGCCCTGTGCTACTGCAGAGGATTAACTAAACACTGATCTACTGCAATGCAGGCTCTCAGATGTGTGTGCCTGTATGCTGTGTGTGTTTTAGTTAAATAGGCTAAAGGAAGGAGAGTTAACAGATTCCCCCACATTTTGGGCCCGCAGTGATCGTCAGACTGCCTTTTGCTGCAGAAACTGAGAAAAAGCATGCTGTTTGTTTGTCGCACAGAAACCGTGGCGGGCACCAGAGGATGTCAGAGACAGCCTACCGAGAGAGCGAGCCCTGAAGAGCGTTAGTTTCCAGGAATCGGTCAGCTTTATCTCTGACAGCCCCGCAAACATGGAACTAGAGAGTCAGCAGATCCAACATGGCTGCCTCAGCAGTAACCAGGCCCACAATGCTGGCGTGAGAGTGGAGACTCCTGACAGCGATGTGGTGCAGGTATTCGGATTCTTTCTTCCTATATTTACAAAGGAACCGATATCATACTCCTTACTATTCACCTAAATCTTAAAAATAGTTAGAGCTTATCAGAAAACAGCCATTTAAAAAAACGTCTGTGGTTACAGGAGATCCGTTACCTGGACCAGGTGTTAGACGCGGCCTCAGACATACCCACCAATGGAAATGCCAATCCATCAGAGCACATCCAACCAATCAGCATCGAGGGAGCCTCTCCCTCTGTCTGTGTGTCATCCTCCTCTCCTGTCAATCACCAGCCGGTCCTTGTGGGTGGACAGAGGCAGAGCACCTTCGTCCACCAGGACGAGTCTCCGGTCAGAACCAATGGACACGTGCAGGGGGGCGACGCAGGGCGCAGCAGTGCCAAGTTTGAGCTGCGAGCCTTCCAGGAAGAGAGACGTCCGGCAAAACTCTTCACACCTGGAGAGGAGCAGCAGGTCAGAGTGACGAGGGTGCGACCCTCAGAGGAGGTAAATGGCTGTCAGATATAAAGAAACAACAACAAAAAAACACTCAGTTCAGAGAAAAAGCTGCAAAACTGTCAGAAACTGAATATGACTGACCGAAACTGACCTAAAACTTAACGAAAATGCATTTAAATAGGTTAGTCTTAGACATACCGTACCGATAAATATCAACAACATTAAATCGAGCTGGTCGAACACATCCATACAAATGAATCCCTCATATAAATATTCTGTTAGTACTTTGCGTGTTAGTTTCCTTCCAACACACAGAAGAACAGGAACAAAAACTAACCACAAAGATAAAAGCTAAAATTACAGCTCCCTTACTTCTTCTTTTTTCTGGACAATCTGACACATTCCTCTGTATTGCTGTATCTTTTCTTCTATACACACACACACACACACACAGACAGACATATGTATATGTGTATATGTAGTTTTCTTGGGGATGCTCTGTTGTTTGTTATTCTCACCCCTATTCTCCTGGAATTATTTTCCCATCAGGTCCAGGAGTTGGAGCGCGAACGCCAAGAGTTGATCAAAGACCAGGCAGTGAAAAAGAATCCAGGGATTGCACAGCGCTGGTGGAATCCTCCCAAGGAGGTATGCCTCCACTCAATCTTTGTCTTTCTCCTTAGAACTCCGCTGACTTCCTGACAATTAGATTGATCGGCTATTTGCTCGGCTCCCTCTCTCCAGGTCCCTTTGGAGGAACAGCTAGACGCAGAGCAGCTCGAGTCGCTCAAGAAATATCAGGAGAGGAAACAGCAGAAACAAAATCACACTTACCCGTACACACAGGTAACACATCTACACAAAAGATTGTTTTAAAGTGATTTAAGATTTGGATGACTTGATCGTGTTCTTTTACAGAAATCAAATCTGACTGTAAAAGGTGTTATAAGGAGCATGAAATATTTTTACAATACAAAATGTAATTATTTTGTTTTCACCTTTTAAATCTCTTCTGATTTGTATTTGCAGCCCCACGTATCGGGTCCTCTCACGATGGTCACCTTTGACCCAGAGCTAACCAAGAGAGAGGAGATTGTGGAGGAGCAGATCAATTTCTCGTCCGCTCGGAGGCAGTTTCTGCAAGGCGAGGCTACCAAGAAGGATGTTGCTCCTCAGTTTTACTCCGCCAAACCCTTCTCGAAATCCACCGCCAGGGCCAGCACAGGAAGCAGTGACTTTGTTCCAGAGACCGGGGAGACTCACGTGACCTGGTCTGACGAGGGACCCGGTGGGGAATTTACGTGTGCTCGAGCTGTTATGACCATTCTGCAAGGGGAGGAGGAGGCCAAGGGTCATTTCAGTCCGTCTTTTCACCCGGAAGAGTCCGACTCGGGATTGGATGAGCTGTCCGTCCGCTCTCAGGACACAACCTTGTTCGGCCTGGATAATGTTTCTGACAGCGGGGCCTCCTTTCCCCCGACCCCACTCCCGCTTACCCCCGTGTCTCCGCCCACGCCCCAGCCCACCACCCCGGTCAACGGCCGGACCCCCGGCAGCCCGACGGAGGTCGAGCTGGAGTACCACGCCGGGGTACTCGTCCAGAACGCCATCCAGAGCGCCCTGGCCGCCCAAAACGGGGAAAACTGGCCGCCGTCTGCCTTAAACTCCTCTCAGCTCAGCGCCCCCGTGTCGCCATCCTCCGCCTCGACGAGCAGCCCAGTGCCAGTTTCCTCCTCCCCCGTGTCTTCTGTCGGAGCTCTAAGCTTCTCCTCGCCTGTGTCGTCCAGTCCGGCGCCATCCAACCCGTCTCCGCAGCCGGACGTGCTACCACTGGTCAGGGTGATCCCCGAGGAGAAGCCGACGGCGTCCCAACAGCTCAGCGGTCCGGCCCAGCGGCCACACCTCCACACCCCCTCCCCTCCGCCCTCTCAGCCCGTCTCGCCGCCGCAGAGACCCAGAAATGGCGGCCCCAGGATCAAGATCCAGTCCTCCTACGCCCGAGCGCTGGCCTCCTCGGCTCCCGACCCGGCTCCGGCCTCGGCGGCCCCCGTCCCGCCGAGGCCCGCCCAGGTCTACCGCCCGCCTTCCCCTCCGAGCCCGGAGAAACCCGAGTTCAGCTACTTCAGTAAATACTCGGAGGCGGCCGAGCTGCGGAGCACGGCGGCCGCGGCGCGGGCCCCGGAGGCGGAGCCCGCCAGCGGGCCCTTCCGCCTGCGCTCCAAGAAGCAGCGGACCTTGTCCATGATAGAGGAGGAGATCCGAGCCGCGCAGCAGAGGGAGGAGGAGCTGAAGAAGCAGAGGGAGACGCAGCCCGCCGCTGCTGTTTATGCGCAGCCGAGCAACCCGGCCACAAACAGCCATGGATCCGCCAGGTCAGGGGTGAGGAAGACCACCATTTCCCCGGCAGATAAGATGAAGAGCAACAGCCTGCCGTCCAGACTCACGCTGACAGCACGCACAGCACCAGGTCAGCTTCTCTCAGAGGCTTCAAACCTCTGAAACGACACCAGTCAGAGCGTCACGCTCATCAGACCTAAAGGTACCTCTTCAGCGAATCACGTTTGTTTCTCTGTGCTCTGCAGGGAAGATCGAGAAGGTTCGTCCCGCCCCACCCGTCTCCCCTTCACCCTCCGAGGGAGCCCTGTCTGATGCTGGCAGCGAGGACTCCGGGGGGTCCCGACCCAAAAACTTCATGCAGACGCTTATGGAAGACTATGAAACCCACAAGGTGAAGAGGAAGGAGAAAATGGAGGACAACAGTGTAAGTGTTTCATTCTTTCAGAAGATGTCTTTGTTATCACCTTCTAAAAACAACAGCAGTTGTTCATACACAACTCCAAACACAAAACACAGCAGTCTAGATCTTAAATTGCGTGTCATCATAAATCCCAGTCGGCTGTAGACATTTGGTAGAAACAAACAAACCTGTGGATGTTATCAGAAACAGGAACCATGTCAGGGAGTAGCCGTTCATCACACGTCACCAGCCTGTTTGGCCTTTGTGGCTGATTATGTCCTCATCCATGTTCGTGTGAGCTAATACTGTAAACCACCAAAGGGAAATTCCCTGCCTGAGGCTCTCGAAGTGAAAGTGGAAGTAAGTTCCAGAGGCTGGGGATTTCTACTCTGGCTCATTAGCTAGTATTAGATCTTTCCCTAAAAATGTTTAATTCAATTTGGGCCAAATAAACAGTTTATTTCAGTAAAATGAGCTGAAAACATTGGCACAAACTTAGTTTTAGTTCTAAGCCCATAAATGCGTAATGCTCTAATTACACAGAAGAAAAATGAGAAATTCCAAACACTCACTGTTGATATATATATTAATTAAAGCGTCTCACATTTTCTGCCCTGTTTGGCAGCTGAGTCTTTTGTTGTTTATACATACATAATGACATTATGTGTGCTGACTTGTGTTGTTGCTTCTCTCCTATTGGTCAGTATGCCCATTTGTTGCTGGCTAACGAGGTAACCACAGAGGTACCTTTTACACCCCGAAACCTTGACACTCCTTTAACTGCCTTACCTGACAGACCTGGGTCAGACTATTCAGGAAATCTTTGAAAAAGCTTTGTTTTTTTTTTTATATTTGGACCATCACAGAGCACGATTTTAAAGAATGGGCCATAATCTAAGATCTTAGATTTTCAAACCTATTAGACACAAGGGAATGCTTTTAAAGACCAGTAAAAGACCTAAAAAAGTCATTTTGTTTTCATTTTGGTCACAAGAAATTTGAAATGGAGACATCCTGCTTGAAAGTTTCTATGAAGAAATTGTTTATATATTCATCTTGGTTCTGAACCCAGGTCTGCTTGTTGTGTTACTGCCTCATTCAGTTGTGTTGTTGTGTTGGTTTTGCACGTGCCTGTCCTTTTGATTGATTTAATATGTGACCTTTGACCCACCCACACAGCCTTGCGACTTTTAAACTTGTACAATATGGTCACAGTTTTAAACACGTACATGGAGGTTTTTCATTATGACAGTGGATGAGTGCGGTCATAATCATCATCATCATCATCATTAAATGAAGGTCACAGTTTGAATCATACAGTGACCTTAATTAGAGGCCTTCATTTTCTGTCATAAGTACACCTAAAATAGCATATTTACCCACAATCCCCTTCACTGCTACCCCACCCTGAAGTTATCCCGGATATTTGCCCCAATAGTCTTATCCCTGTTTGGATATGTGTATAGAATATGTGTGTTCGTATTGGTGTGAGAGGGACTGGATCCACAGCTTTTGCAGCTAGTGCATGGAACCCCTTCCGAGGAAGAGCAAAGTAAATTGTAAAGTTGTAGATGTTGAACACTGCAGGGGCGCTTTGTCCTGGTAGTTTACTCAAAGTAAAGGGATTATTTAACCGAGCGCTTCTACAGTGTTTAACGCACACTGCATGTTAAGTTACTGTCACTGTGGTGAGTTTTTATTACCATTCTGTCTCATATTCTCCACCCACCTAATTTGGTGAAAGTATTTAAGTGTTATTGATTGTTTTTCTTTTATTTGTCAGGTTCTGGAAGCCACTCGAGTGACCAGGAGGAAAAGCAACATGGCACTGAAATGGGAGGCCGGTATCTATGCCAACGAGGACGGAAAGGAGGAAGAGGAGGAGGAAGAAGAAGAGGAGGAGGAAGAGGAAGAGGAGGAGTGAACAGCTTAAAAGATGGTCAAGGAGCTGAGTGGAAAGAAGAGGGAAGAGGAGGATGAGGAGACTGAAAAACAAATGAGAAAAAGGAAGAGAAAGGACTGGAGATTAAACAGTATTTATTTTTTGTAACAGTATCCTGGTGATCACATGACCCCATTGGCTTTAGCCAATGGAGCTTATTGATGAGAGGCGTCGAAGTTGGGCACTGAAGGTGTAACGGCGTGTAAAGTGACTCGGTATGTGAGGAATTTCTAAGGTATTGAGGTGTGTTTGGGGACTCAAGAGTCAGTGATGCAAGAGACACTTTGTAAGGATTATATGGTGGTTTTCAGACGATGTACAGATGTTTAAGATGAGACGTTTTCACAAGGTGGTAGACGCTGAATGATTTCATAGGATTTTTCTATCTATCTATTTGTAGTTTTAGTCTTGAAATATGGGCTAAGGCTAACCGGCGAATTGTCGACGAGGCCACATGCGCTTCATCCTCCAAATATTTAATTACCCCCTGGAAGACAGAAAAGAGAAGAGAAGAAGGTGGAATTTCGGTGGCTTTTGAGAACAACTCAAAAACAAAGAGAAGCTAATGTCACACACAAACACACACTGTTCGTGGAATTTCAGGGCTCATCTGTGATTAGATGATACTGCGGGAGTACCAGAAGGATTTTTCAAGCAAGTTAACCAAAGGGCACTATTTAGCATCGGCCTCGGAGTGATTTTTTTTCTTTTCCTTTTTGTAAGTCGCGCACGCTGCTGTGCCACAGTACACCACAGAGCAGATATGATACAGGTATGGCGTGTTGGCGGGAGTTTTTTTTAATATATTTTTTCAAGCATCCGCATTTAATCTGAAGTGCCGGCTTGACAGTCAGCGTCCTTGAATTGCTAAATGCTAGTGAGGAAATGTGAAAAACTAGCAATGCTACCTTTGCCTTAGACTTGTTGGTATGTATGATGTATTCTATCATCTCATATCCTGTACTAGTGCAGTTTCAGTAGGACCTTATAGACAATAAGCATCCGCATTAGATAAAGTTTGTCTACGATTATTATGCGTTTCTCACTTTTTGTCCATAAAATGCAAACTGAATGAAATATTTGTGGGAACTAAGGTCTGTGTGTAGTAGTCAAAGGGCTTGGTCGAGGTTTTTATACTCTGAAAATCACTTATTTTAGCTTTTGTGGCTATGTGGCTTTGTTGACCTGATGTAAGCAGTCGTTTCATGTATTATACTGAGGTAGGGTTGTGTATTTGATGTATGGATAAGTACTGTGTATCTGCTTTATACATTGCTAGCTGAGGATAAAGTTTGATTAAAAAAACAGTTAAGAGCCTTTGATAGGAATTCATTAACCAAAACAGGATGTTGTTCATGAGGAAAGAGTGTATAAGCTCATAAACCCGTTTAAGAAGAAGAACCTATTGTGTGCTCGGATTACCTTTTATTTCATTACCTGAAACAAGCACACAGCACCGGGATCTGGCTATCAGTGAAAACGCCTTTTAAAAGGCTGCAATAAGGCTCAAAGGGGCTGTCTCCACAAACTGTAGGTCAGACTCTTTGTCATATGTATTGGTGGTGATGTGATTGATTCTTTTTTTGTTTTGTTTTTGTTTTTTTGTATTTCTTTTGTTTTGCAATAAGCTCTTGAAACTCCAGAAGCGACACAAAGTATGATGATGCTGCAGTGAAAAAAGAAATCATAAGTGTCTGTGTTGCTGTGAAAACAGTCATTTTTTTAACCACTCCAACTGAAAAGTAGCAAAAATCCCTCCACTCTTTGATCCTTTATCGGTTGCACATGAAAAGCCAGTGAGATTATTTCCTGTGTCAGAATGTTAGCCGCATGGAGGAGAATTTAGTTTTCCCCGTAAACCAAAGGTCACTGTCCTGACCACCACATCTGCTGGCGTGTCCTGCCCAAGTGTCCTTCAGCACGACTCACAAAAAGGTGATTTAGAAGCCCTGTGTGAATGCCTGAAATATTTAACACACACCGGGATCACAACAAAACAAAACAGTATGAGGACACATTCCACTGACTTGACTGTATCGACTTATATATTTGTGGTTGTGTCCAAGACGAGTGATGATTGACACATTTTTAGGTTCAGCTGTATTCTCTCTCTTTAGGAAACAAAGTGCCAGTAACACCTTTGACCAGAGGTAAAAACCACGCCTCTGTGATGTGTTCAATACCTTTATCCCCAAAACTATGATAATCGTCAATTTTACAGTATTTAAACAAGTGTGGGGGGGAATTTGGGGGGGAAAAAGACCAATTCTGCCTCTGAGGACACAAAGAGCCCCCCCCCCATCATCAGCCTGCGTACACACACCAACTGTTGCATCGTGTGACTTATTATTATTATTAATAATATTATTAATGCTTTTGATGTTTGAATTCATGGTGCAGAGATGATTTTATTTATCATTTAAAATGCCGGTAGCTTGTTTTTCGCCCTGCAGGAAGTACAGAGCTCCGGTGTGGCACTCACATCATCCGTGGGTGATAAATGTTTGACAACCTTATTATAGAAAGTATAGCCTCTGATCCTATGTTAACCACTTGTATGCTCATATTCTGCTTTTTATTTTATTTTATAGCACATATAAGGCTCACAGTTGTACTCCTCCCATCCATATTATGAATATTTTCTCATTAAAAGCAAAATCTGCATGTGTGGTGTGTGCGAGGGTTTCATTTGTGTGTTTTCATTCAGAAAGTTAAAGATTGTTGACATGCTTATACATGAGTTATTAATAAGAGCAGGGCTTCTTTTACATGTGACGCACCCCCTTTACTTCTGTGAAGCCTGTTTGTTAAGGTTTGAACTTCTTCCCACAGGAGAGGTGCCAGCTTTGAAAGTCCCTTGTGGTTGGTTCAGATTTTGGTTTTGCTTGTGTGCACGCTACACAACCCTGACGCTGTATGTCAATAAAACCACTGTCACTGAGAATACTAAACAGCTTGTTTAAAGCGAAAGTTTCACAAGAAGCCAGAATATGTGTGTGAAGCTCAGACCTCTGGGCTGTAAAATGTCAGATTATACTTTCACATTCTACATTCAAATGTGCATCTATCTTGAGATATAACGAAAAGTATAATCATAAACTGATCATTATAGAGTGGGCTTCTCAATGTAGTTTTTTAATTTATTTGCCTCATGTAAATTGATTTATGATGAACGTGCTGGCATACTTAATAATCAACCTTAACTAGACAATAGACAAAGGAACATATGCAGTGCAACAACACAGGAAAATGTTGCACAGAATGTGTTCTGAATGATCTGAAGTTTGAGACTTCCAGCTAACTGTTTGGTAGAACTCGGGCTACGGCCGGGTCCTTGAACAGAAAATAAAGTTTCAAGCTGCCAACAGCGCTGATGTGGAATAACGCGCTCAACCGCTGTGGTTGGGGAGGGCGTGAGAGGTTCTCTCCCCCCCCAAAAAAAAATCTCATAAGCACCGTGCACAGGCTGCAGGAGGAAGTGTGCGTAAAAGGTCCCGCCCGGCTGCCAACCCACGCTGAAAACGCACGACTTCTGCCGGACTCGGCTGCGTCCGGGGAGCACACTGAGGAGCCATGGCGCTGGTCAGCCTGTGCGCACTGGCCCCGGCGGTGCTCCGGCAGGTGGAGCCGGTCATCGCGCTGGAGCAGCTGGGCAACACCCTGTTCGACACCGCGCTGCTGATGGTGGCGAGGGACCGCTCCGCCAACGCCACCTACGCCGGCGTGTCCAGGGAGGCCGGCCAGCAGAAGGCCATCACGGACTTCTACATGAGCTACAGCCTCATCATCCGGCTGACCCCCATCGTCCCCTCGCTGCTCCTGGGCAGACTGAGCGACCGCGGCTGGAGGAGGGCGCCCGTGGTGGCTCCCCTGTGCGGGTACCTAATGTCCAGGCTCTTCCTGCTGCTGGTGGTCATTTTCGGCCTCCCGCTGGAGGTCATGTACGGGGCGGCGGTGGTGTTCGGGCTCTCCGGGGGGTTCGGCGCCTTCTGGTCCGGCGTGATGACGCTGGTGTCGCTGCGCTCCGCGCCGGCAGACCGATCCAAGGTACGAGACGCGCGCGTAAAGGTTTCCACCCAAAGAAATGTTATAACGTTCCGATTCAGTCACAGCGGACAGCTGCTCTGTGGAGAGGTTCCCTCTGTCAAACAGGGGAAATGTCGAGGAGGAAAAGTGATCGAGACCAACAAAGTGTAGCCCACGTATAGGTTTAAACCTATATTTCATGTAAGAGGTCGTATATGAACTATTCATTATTCATTTGATCTACCAGCTGTTTCTTTATTAAGAAGTGACATTCTTTTATTCATAATTTCATAATCAATAAACTTTTTTCATTTTGCTTTTCTTTCTGTTTTTAGATTAAGGTTCAATGTGTTTTTCTTTATTCCCCCTCCCGCCATCAAAGTCACTCAGTTAACAGTTAAAAGATAACTTTTAATCTGGTGAAGAAAGCTGTGTCCTCCACAAATCAATGAGCATTAACCAACCACCTAAACCAAACAATTCTCAGCTCGATTCAATCTCACAATGACAGACCAGTTTACTTTTTGGTCCAGAGATCATGGCAGAAAACAGACTATTTGGCACTGAAGGCTGCTCTTCTGCATTTTCTCAGTATAATAATATTTTTTAGCTTAGTTAGTTCTAGTGACTCATATCTGAGTAACCATGTACCATGCTTTCATCAAGCTATTTTTGACTCCCAGTAAAAAAAGGACCTAACAGGCCCGTGTTCTGTGCAGGTGATGATGAGGGTGGAGCTGCTGTACGGGTCAGCGGGCCTGGTGGCCAGCTTGGTGTCGGGCCATCTGTTCCAGCTGTACACTTCCAGTCTGGGACACGGGACCATCCTGCTCATCGTGAGCACCCTGCTGCACCTGCTGTGCCTCCTACTGGCCACCGCTCTGCTGGAGGTCAGCGCCGGTTCATCCTCACTCACACACTTCTTATGTTTCAATGCTTGTTTGTTTTTCAGCCAGATTTGTAACCTCTTCATCCATTTGACTCTGAGATTATCTTGAGACGGATTTGTTTTCCTGTATCCACATTCAGCACTTTGGGGATCTGGTGTTTATATCACAATGCAGATGTTGAGTATAAGTCTAAGTCTAAGCATCTCGATTAAAGGTGAAGGAAGTGTGCCCAGAAGAGCCAAACGAGGACTACCACCTCCTCTCCTCCTCTTCCTCCTCCTCATCCTCCTCTTGTAATTCTCTGGTCCCGGAGGGCCCTGCCGGGATAAACAGGGTCAACCTGGTTCTGCTGTTTTTGACCGCCTTCCTGTACGACTTCGCAGTGGGCGGGGCCATCAACATTTTGGGCTCTTTCGTGCTGAAATCACCACTCAGCTGGAGCGCCACGCAGGTAACGATTATTGTTGTTGTGTGTCACGCTGGTATTAAGATATTCTGCTTTTTAAAAAGAAATGTTTTGGTCTATTCTGTTGATTGCCTCTGACCTGCTCTTCTTTCTCCATCATCTTCTGTTGGCGTTCCTCCAGGTTGGGTATGGGAACGCGGCGGGTTGTCTGATCTTCTTCACCAGTTTCGTCGGGGTGATGGTGTTCCGCCGCTGTCTCAGCGACGTGACCATGATCCTGATGGGCATGCTGTCGTTCGCCTCGGGCATCTACGCCATGGCCTTCGTCAGGACCACCTCCATGTTCTACCTGGGTAAGCCCCGGGGCGTCCCGGGAGGAGGCAGGGATTGTGGGGAAAGTCGAGCCGTGAGCGAGCTCGGTGTTACTCTGAGGCCTTTTGCTTCTCCTCAGTGAGTTTCACTTCAGCCTCACCCCAAATGACCCCGCTCCCTCATTTTTCGGTATCAATGAGGCAGCAGATTTGAACATTATTGCCTAACGATCTCGATCCACCCTGTCACAAACCTCCCCCCTCACACTTCTCCCAAAACTGCATCTACGTCAATCTTTTCTCCATTTTCATCTCATTTGAACAATTTTTCTGTGAGCTTTGTGTGGTGATTCAGAGTGGAAAGATGCAGCCCCCCCATAGACGTATAAATGGTTCATTCTACGGTTATAGAAACAAAACATGCTTTAAAAATAAGAATCTTTTTTCTCTGGGAGTCATTACCATTGCTGCACTGGGTTGCATGTAAGGATGAGGTTTCAATCTTATTCTCACATTTACGTGAGATTCTCACATCTTTAACCTTAACCATAGACACATGCAGCTCAATCCATGTTGTTCTCCAGCATTTTCTGCTTTGAAGAACTTTCTAAGACTGCTCCCATAATCTTATCTGTTTATCGCATTCCACTAAGGAACATGAAGAAACATTTTCTTTGAAGCCATGGCTGTTTAGGAGGTTGTTTTAGTTCCTCTTTTGACCGTGTGCTGGTGGCTTTTTTGTTTTGTTTTCGGAAGTATGTAGGCAAAAGCTAATTGTTCAATCCATAATTTTGCTTATGATCTGTGGTAAAGGTCAGCCTTGCCAGTTTCTAAAATGCTGCATTCCATAATTTATGGGTTATCAGCACAAATTGTAAAACATACAGGAAGCAAAAAAAGGAACCAGGAAGAAACCAACATATAAATATATATATATAGTGTTCAAAACTCTGCACAGTGTTTATGCCATGGAATCAATGAAACACGACCCTGAGCTGTCCATTTAATGTTTACAGCTCCATTTAAGGCTACAGACTCATGTTGGCTCTCCATTCCAGAAGTAGGAAAAGAGAGCTGTGTAAAGAACAGTGTTGGGGATTGACAGGGATTGGAAATAAATGATTAATTTCTCTTTTTTTTTCTGCAGCTCGTTCGCTTAACCTGTTTGCACTCATCCCAATGCCGACTATCAGGTCTCTGGTCTCACAACAGGTCCCAGCATCCTCATGTGGTGAGTGCTCAACCTGGTTTTTATTTTTTAATCATATATTTTAATCATATTCTATGAAAGGATTTACAACTTGTTGCTTCTTTAAGGCAGCTTGTTGGCTAAATTTAGAAAGTATGTTGAGTCGGCTGAAGAAAAGAATCCAATGTGGGGCCTTTATGTGAAAAAAACAGGAAATGAACAGTAACCGTTTACAGTTAAACATTTGAAACTGTATCTGAAGATATTTTTGTCTAGATTTATATTTTAAAAAAAGCTATTTTCTAAGCCAGGAGCCTTCTCAGGTGTGAGGATTGTGGCCCTGTGAGTGCACACAGCAAAGCCTTGTTCTAGTCCTGTCTGATCAGTTCATACCAAAGCAGTGACGTTCCATAAAGAGCCTGCTGTGCCAAAAAACAGAAAAGGCTTTCTCTTTTCTCCTACACACGGAGGCTGGGTTTACAAGTCAAAGAGTTTGGTCGTAAATTCCATCTTGTTGTAAGATACAAGAAACCTTTTCCAAACAAGTGGACTCCCTCTCTCCGGTTATTTTCTTTGCCTCTCTGTCATATTCATGCCTGCGCTCTTCCTCCTCTCCTTCAGGCATCACCCTCACCTGCCTGCAGTTGACTCTGAAGGTTGCTGGCTTGGCGTACATCCCCGCTTACACTAAGATCTATCAGAAGACCCTGGACTGGATCCCTGGCTTCGTCTTCCTGTTGTCCAGCATCATCACAGTATTCGGGATGATACCCATCAGGTACAGTTTTTTTAACTTTTTTTAACAGTTTAGTTTTCGCGGCTGTCAAACGTGGCTCGTTTCCAAACAGTGTTTCCTCTCTGCTGCTTTCCAGCGTCGTAGGCTGCCGGAGGGCTCGGAGGCAACGCTGCGAGGGGACTCAGGGAGACTGACTCAGCAACGCCGGCCACCACTGACTTCATGTTTGCACAAGGCGGGCAGGAACCGATACTTGACCAGGTCAAGACGGGAACGGTGCCTTTTTGATTTCACTTCCTCCACTGATAAACTGACGCTTTGAGCTGTTGCAAAACAAACACAAGGCAGTGAATCATGTTTTTATGAATGTTTCAATGAGTGACGTGCCGGAAGGCCCCTGCCGACAAAGGACAGGTAGAGAATGGGTACTTTGCAAAAGCGACCTGAAACAAACTGTAAAAGTCGAAGATTTTTTTTTAAAACTATTCGAGCAGATTTCATAGAGTAAATGACTTCATCAGGCGGGTCAAACTGTGTTAACTTATCTCAGGGAGTCATTTACACAAAAACAAAACACCCACAGATATTGCAACACTTTGAGAGTGTCACTCATGAAAAGCCCCAGAAAGCAACTAAAGCCAAGAGAGGAGACTCAACTGTTTTTTTTCTGGAGAAAGTTTGACCGTCTGCTTATTGCTGGATGTGTGGGGAAAAAAGAAAGATAACTTTTTTTATTGTTTTCAAATTTTCCTCATTCCATTTGTTGCTATGATAAAAGTTTTTTATGGTTTCTTTGTTTAAGGGATTGTTGTTCCAGAGGTTCATTTGATGTTTTATTATAACTACTGTATCATTTCATCTTCAGAAGGTTAAGAACCAGTATGAAAACAATGATTCAATGTCTCCTGCTGTGTAATGATTAATCTGTTTAGATTAGCAGCACACAGGAATGAGGAAACGTGACCATTAACGAGAACCAGCACAGATAAAGGATTCAGATAACATCAAATCCTACAGCCAGAGCACGTGTGTGAACGGTGTGAGTAAGATTTATTTATTATGAGGGAGTGGAGCCAGTTCATCTGCTCATCAGACAATATGAGTATGTTTTTCCTTTTTCATCTCATCTTTGTTGCTGCTCTTCAACTTGGTTACTGAGCAGTTTGCAAAGTAATCTGGCATCTTTTATAGGCTCATTCTCAGTTTGTGCAATTTTTCTTTAGTTTCCTGCAAATTGTCTTTATTGTTGTGTAAGATTAAGATGTAGATAATATGCCTTTTCTCTGTATATTGTTATACTTTTAAGTGGGTGTTAACAGAAACACATCCTTGTTTTTCAACTTTTTTAAAAGAGATATATATTTAGTTGCACTTCGTGTTGTAATAAATCTTAATAAGTCTGTATTTTATTTCAGAAAATAAACTTTTTTTATATACTCAACACTTTTTCCTTCATGTCTTACAGCAACCTTTAAAGAATGATAACAGTAATCTCTGCTTGAATTGTGAATTTGAATGAAAAAAAGAGGAAACAAACATAAAACAGGAAGTTATCAAACCCATCTTTTCTTTTTATTTCTGGCCCAATACATCTGGAAAAAAACATCCTTTGTGGTAAAGATAAATTGCTTCAAAACCTCAGTATACAAGCTACTTTAATCATTTCAACAAAAGTGTTATTAACATTCAAATGTACAAGAGTGAACGTAAACAGTACACAGTGGGGAGGGACGGAGAAGACTGAAACCAGATTCACACGGTTATAGCTCATCTGATTTTAAGACAGGTTTGACGGGTCTATCCTGTGCTGAAAATCAGATTCCTATTTTCACGTGTAAATCTAGAGAACAAAGAGGAGGACATTTGGCTTAGAAACGTTTCCTTTTGTGTATAAAAGAAAATTCTACCCAGATCTCCACGTAGAGGGATTTAACCTGAATCTGTTCTGCCGATGAGACTTTTAATGACATCAAACAAAAAAATAATCTCAGGAGCAAGTCTTCTTCTTCTCCTTTTTTGCAACAGAAACTTTTCATTTGTGTTTTAGATGCTGGAGCTACATGTTTAGTGCAAAAAAGTCTGCAGGCACACGGAAAAAGATGGGGCTTTTGCAATGGTTGGGACTGGGGAGTCCAGTTTGCTCTTTAAAAACACAAATAATGTTTGGATACCCATGTGAATTTACAATGAAACTATTTTTTTTTCCAATCAACACGTTGCCTGTGCTCAGTCCAGCTCATTCTGACATTTGAAACTGTCGTCTTCACACACACTCCCCCCCACACACACACACACTTAACAATCCCAGCAAAGCTCTCCTTTGATTTCAATTAGAATAAACTCTGCTAAATAGTACCAAGACTTGATTTACTCAAAACTTTAGTTCACAGGTGAACAAATGTTGTTGGATTTAGAAATAAAAATAAAAAGAGTGAAAACTACGTGTTTGCGTGCCTCACGCTACTGTAATGTCCTCGTGGGTGGCAGCTGCCAACAGAACAGGTGAAAACAAAGGCAGAAGTTTAACTATTACAGCATACTAACCGTCCCTCTCTTGAGAAAAGTGCAACTGTAGAATTATCAGAGTTAGAATGTTTAGAGTCTGATTAACACTAATGTGAGGTTTTCTTCATCTTTACATTGGTTTTCTTACTTGGTACTGGTGCAAAGAAAAATAGGAGGAGCTACCAGTGGCTCCACAGGGTACCTTGGTCTTTACCTAAAAGAGGTGCGTTAAAGTTCCTGAAGTCTGGCTTTCCAGCTCATTTCAAAGCTTTTCCAAAGTGAGTGACAGAGGGAAAAAACTTGGTTTGTAGGTACGAGAGTTTTTTTTTTTTTAAGTATCTTTGAAACCATCCCTAACTTCACACATAAATGAGCGATTCCTCGAAGATGGAAGTGTGGGGTTCATTTTTCAGAAAAATAGATCGTGCAGATGTTGTGTCCTGAATAATGAATGTGCATCAACATTCTATCATATCTGCAAAACAGAATCTCAATTAAAGCTGCATTAAGAGCTACAAGTGGAGCTTTTCTTCATCTCGCTTCTAATGGAAAATAGTTTTTGTTTTTTGATGTACCAGTAAGAGGAAACAAGAGTAGCTCTAACAGCCTTTTTTTTGTAAAGCGCAGGGGGAATCATGAAAGACAAACAGATATTTAAAAAAAAAAGGAAATTAAAGATTACAAGCTGCTACAGACATGAAATCTCGCTTTAGGTTTGGTTGTATCAACGGCAGTTTTAAAAGTATGGCATCACTTTGGAAAAACAACAACAACAATACAATAAGAAACAACTGAAAAATAGAGGAGTTTAAGAAAAAAAAAACATATTCTTCCTGACAGGGACTTCATCTTCCGGTGGCTGAGAGAGACTTTGGGGATAAAGTCAGAAAAAGGAAACTGATGGCTGCCACTAGCCCGTCCTGTTAGAACGTTTCCCATCACATTAGGGAAACGACAACAAACTGCTCTGTCACATGACTGAACTAATTACCGACTCAGCTGGTCTCATGCTTAACTTTTTCCTCTTAATATGCAACTTAAATTTCCTCTTTTTCCCCAAAATCCCTTTGATTCACATACTCGGTCATTTCTGTTGCTCTGTACTCAGTAGCCAGTCATGGGAACACGGTAAAAAGACATAAACCAGCTTACATCTAGACAGATGTTGGGGAATTACTTTCCTTACAAGGGAACACTTTGTGAATGAGACGTCATCGTGGCAGAGAGGATAAACATTTTCCTGTGTGTCGAGCAGAAATAACAAAAGTACCGATGTATTATTTTATTTCTCCTGCCCTTTACATCCCTGGTAAGTTTTTTTTTTTTGCCTGAGGACATGAAGTGGAATCCCAGCTTGTAGAGGGTGGCAAGTGTTTTTTTTCAAGAGACACCAACAAAGACGTTTCAAAAGAATGTGGAAACTGTGCAGAGCTCAGCCACATGGTGGAGCTGCTGCTCTGCCCGGTATAAAACACTTCATTAGAGCTCCTCTCTGTGTTTGCGCTGACCATCCATCCCCTCGCCGCCCTGATCGACCAGAACATTTAGTTCAGGCACAGTTTTATTTTGTCGTCAAGCTTAAACGCAACTTGGAACCATTTTGACTCTTTTGACAGGGAGGAAAAACTAGCTGTACATTCTTTAAGTTTCTCTTTGAAAAACCAGTTGGCTTTAATCTTGACAACATCTACGTCCTTCTGCCCTCAGTGCTCAAACACTTAAGAAACCGCAGCATGTTTCAAGTCTCTGCTAGCTATTTCTTTTCTTCACAACGGTTGGAGGAGAAGAAAAGATATTAAGTTTATGAACTGCTGAAAAAGAGTTAGAGGTAAAAGAATATGTGGAAAGTATGGAGTGAATCAAGCAAAAATAATAAGGATAAGGATGGATACTCTCAAAGTTTGACTTCTATCAGCCAAAAACGACAGATTTGAGACTCAAATCAATCTTTTCTGGCGTCACTGTGTGTCTTGGCATTACATTTTTTGTCTTGCTTTTGCAGCTGGCAGTGGAGAAAAATAAAGCTCTGAATACTTAAACTTAAGATACTTCATACCCGTGCACGACAGTTCATCCTTCGTATTTAGCTCAATGTAAAGATGGATATCCATATCGATAATCCATATTTCCAAGATTGTGGTTGGATAAAAACAAGCAGCATTAGTAACCAACTCTTAATTGGAAACATGAAGTAGAAAATGCTCATAGGAACGGCAGCAAAAAAAAAAAAGTACATAAGTTAATCTTCTCTCCCAGCGGACTTTCAATATTTACCCCACGTTACCTTCTTTCAAGAGGATCGTCTGAGTATGAGACGACCTCTCTCCATACAATCGTCTGACGGGAGAACAGGGGGCGAAGCTCAGCAGTTAAAATCTCTGGCCCCGTTTGGTCTTTTTCCTTGGCATGACAAAGTGTGTTGTACAGACACAGATCGATGAGGGCTGAGACCCGAGGACTCGGCATCAGTTCGTGTCACTTGTGTTGTCCTCGGTCTGTTTGTCCTGAAGAACAGTTATGAGTGATTCCCATGCTGCCTGGCACTGGGGAGAGTGGAGACACATGAAGATTAAGACAGATTGGCTGAGATAAAAACTTCTAAAAGAACCAATTGTTTGTGAACTAGACACATAATGGTTGTTACATATACTAGATGAGTGTAACGTTTACACTCTGCCATGTTTTTAGTGTAGATCTGCAAAGTAAAATGCTGCTGACAAAGATCAGTGAGCCTAATACATTAGCTTTGTATGAAAGAAACATGGTGTAAAAGTTAGCTTTTATTTATTTGAAATTAAACAGCTCCAACTTGGCATACAAATAAAGATTTGAATGGAGTCGTTTTAAGATTGTGATTTAGACAAGTGCTGTCAGTCTGATGTCAACAAGAAAATCTCGAGGAGTTTTTCAGGTTGGTGAACTACTAAACCTGTTTGATGTTTTTTTTTTACCCAACTAAGAAACAGTTGGTTTCATAGTTGGCAGACCTGGTGGAAAGACATAGACAAGCAAAAGAAGGTGAAAGTGTCTGAATCTTCAATGTTTTCTTCACATGTGTACATATATATGATCTTTTGTTAGGATGTTTGATTATGTAGCCGTTGAGTTTTGTTTTATATCTAACAGACAGAAGCTTGTCAAACTGTTTCAGAAAAAGCTATTTTAAAAAACTGAGATACGAACAGTTTTCGTAGGTTTCCATAAATTCCTGACGGCAGCCTGCATACCTTTTCATAATGGTTGATATTTTTGTCGGCCATTCCGATGAGAAGCTGTTTGAAATCTTGTCTCTTGTTTCTTTGCCAGCGCTCCCAGTCTGCTTTCAGGTCCGCATTGAAACACTCCACTTTGTCCTGGCATTTCTCTACCTCTGCGGGCATCTGCGGCAATAAGAGGAGAAAAACTATAGCTACAGGGGACTACTGTAGGTGTGAGGCTACATTTTACAGGAGCTGAATGACGTGGGTCTGGGTAGAAGCAGGAGGTTTGGAGGAGAGGATTGTGTGAGATCACAGGCAGAGACACAGTTTGTGCGGAATAGAGACAACTGTTGGAAAAATATATAAAAAAATGATAAAATCCCTTTATCTCTTCATCTGATTTGATTCATTTGTGACTTCTTACGACTGTAGCTCTTAAGAAAGATAAAAAAAACACATTTTAGAAGCAATATTCTAAAAAGAAGAGTCGGATTGTGGCTTACGGGCATTTTGTCCTCTTGTCTGCGTAATATGGCTGCTTCTAGACGGCCCTCATACTCCGCTTGACTCAGGTCTCGCTTCCTCAAAACATTCTGCAATCAGACGGAAACACATCTAAGCCTATGAAGTGATGAAAACTGTCTAACAGAGAGAGAAATGCTGAATCAAGAGCTTGATGACAGGACATGACATGCATTTTTGTGGCGGCTGCATGGCTGAAAACGACACAGGTTCCTGTTACCGTCATCAGTTCATACATCTGGTGGATAAATGACTGATATTGACGTTTCTATGCATAATCGATGTGTGTGGAGGAACTGTTTTGTTGGATCGAACACTGATTGAATTAGCCTCTTAGTTTGTCTGCTTCCTCACTTTCATGGACTCTATGTAGAGAATGTACTCTCTCAGGACAGGCAGGAAGTCCTGGCTCATGTTGTCGCTCAGCTCCTCCAGCGCTCCGCAGCACGCCGTCACGCTGCCGGCCACGCCCTCCAGAGGCTGCTGCAGCTCCTCCTCCGACGCCGCCCAGCTGGAGTACACCGCGCCGTACTCTCTAACCTCCGTTAGGTACTCTGGGAGGGAGGAGAGAGAAGATAACCAAGAGTAAGTGGTAAATGTACAAAAACGAGCAGGTTTCCTTTTGGGTCAAAAGGTGATATCTGGTTACAAAGTCCTATGTATGGAAATCGAGCATTCGAGGGTCGGTAAGGAGGAGGCACTCCGTAGCAGCCTCCTTATTGTCCTTATTATCCACAACAGTTCACAACAATTCCAACTGGGAACTGAAGCTGCCTCTGGCTTAGCATGTCAGCCACCTGAGCAGATGGCCGTGTGAAATGGGCCGTGACTGATTGGTCACACACGAGCCGGGCCCAACTCTTATCAATCAGCCACCAATGACCAAAGGTCTGTGGGCTTTTTCCCCCAAACAAACACCCTCCACAGTCAATATTCCAGATAAACACACAGCAGCTCGCGCGCAGATACGGTCCTGACAAAAGACTCAGTCGTGACACAGGACGTGAACTAAACAAAGCACCATCACGCGCACGCTAATGGCTGCTAGCGAGGAATTCTGAGAGTGGAGATGGGGAAAAAAGTAGAAGTTTAATCTAATAACCTGCTGCAAATGAATAAAAAGAGTTGTTAGATGTATTTCTTACACATTCTTAAAATGTAGGTTATCAGGTAGGTTAGGATCCACATTCAAAACTACTTCTATGAGTAAATACCTTCACTTTACTAGCTACACGACTACTTTACAATACTCACTGTAATGCCACATTACAACATTCTGCTCTGCCTTGTCCCTGATTCATGCACTTCCTTCCTCAAATGTTTCTTCTTTTTCCTCTCTTTCCCCTGTCTGGTCTTCGTTTTCTGTGCTGAAAACAAATTTCGGTTCTTTGTTAGCCCTGCACGTCGGACGCAACACTGACTCTTAAAAGGTCACACCTGGATCCTCCAGGGATCTGGTTAAAATGAAAGTTACATTTCATTATGAGGCCATGTGGTTAATAGGTCACATCTTAACAGTGATCACAGGTTAATTACCTGCTGATATTTCGATTTAGGAATTGCATCACGACCGATTTATTCTCACAAACTGTGCGTTAGTACGGCTGCACTATTATACAGGGAGTTTGTCTAAATGTTACTTAATTAGCTAATTGCACAATTGACAACAGCTGCTACACACTTTAAAATACAGCAAAGATACAGCTTTAGCTAAATCCGTTATTTAAAATGTTACAAATCTATATCTTCATAGCATATAATATCCATCCTTCTCTCACTGCGTTTCCTTGCTGGCCTCCCAAAAAATGCAAACTCATTAAACCGTTTTTTTCCGCTTTAGCCAACATCATAGATCCGTCTTTGTGATACCTGACTGCTCCCTGAGGATCCGCTGAGCGATGCGGTCTATAGTTCCCAGCTTCTGACTGAAGGTGTCCAGGTATTCTCCCATGGCGCAGAACTCGGGCGGCCGTGCCCGCAGCTTGTAGCCTCCGGCCACGTTCTTCACCGACTCTCCCACTTTGGTCAGCAGGGCCAGACCTTGACGCTTGTTCAGGTCCTGCAGACGCACGGAGACAACAAGGGGCGTCAGGATGAGAGACATCAGACCAAGAGGGCACGTTTGAAGACAGAGAGCAAGAAAAATGTCTGGAATGTGACCATTTTCCTCTCCGACTTCTCGAACTGTCTGCAAAACCTATTTGACATGCACGGCTTAACATTGATTTTGTAAGCTTATATTCCATCAATCTGAGTCTAAATGATTTACTGCAGCAACACACTTATTTCCACAGAAAAAAATCAATCACTAAGCTTTTGCTTTGTGTTTTTGCTCCTCTCAGCCAAACATGCCAAATGGGAGAAAAACAAACACATAAGCAGGTAGGGTAGCTAAAACGCCACTACTGAGATCAGTCTTGTCAATAGTATTGAAAATGCTTCGCTTTTAGCCTTCTTTTCTCCATGGGCATACCTTGGCAGTCAGAAAAGCATTAAGATACGGGTTGAAGGAGAGGACAGGGTGGTCCGCAACTCGCTTCAGGAACTTGTCCAGAGCTTTCATCCTGGTCTCCACAAACTCCTCTGAAAAGCGGTCGACCACACCCTTCATCACGAACTTCTCAGGCAGGGGCTGTAGAGGAGGATGGAAGAGAATGTAAATGAGCTTTTTTTTTTCCAGTGAGGAGCGGAGCAGGGGGCGGTGGCAAACAACAGGTGACCCACGGGGATGAGGTGAGTCGGCTGGCTGTCCTCTAACTTTATCCTCAGCCAGTCAAAGTCCTGGTAGCGCCGCCGAACGCAGTACTCTGGAAGGTCAAACTCTATCCGCGTCGTCTGAAAAGAGAATGGAATAGACAAGCTTTCATCTGTAGTTAGATGACAGCAGGGCTTTTGTTATGTTTCAGGCTTGTTCAGGGAAGGCCTTAAACTATACTATGCTATTCTGTATCTATTAAGAGAGCGTGGCTTTATTTAGGAAAAGTCATGGAGCAGAACCAGGCCTTTCATCAATAAAAGAATTAGTTAAAATCATGAAAAAAGCAGCCGGAGGAAGACCAAAAAGACTTAGAGCTGTTCCATTTGACAAAACTGTTTCTAGATTTTCAGTTGTTTATGATTAACTTTCATCTCTTTAAAATCTGACATGAATGCATGTTTACACATTAACCCAAAAAAAAAAAAGAAGAATTAAACGGCCGCATTTGTCTGTGGCCTCTGGACCGAAGCAGCACCGTGCACATGGCAACTGTCGTCATGACGCCGCCGAGTGGCTACAGGCAGTGTCTCCCTGTGAATCTGGGCCTTTCATGAAGCAGCAGAAAGGCTTCAAAAGCTCTGATTCTCTGCTGTCAGAACAAACTGAGTTCTTTGAGGCAGAGCGGTGGCTCTGTGGACCTCGTGCCTCGTTAATCAGAGCTCGCATCTGATGGGCGGAAAAAAGGATTCACCTGGTGAACACAAGCTAAAGATTCTCCCCTCAGAGCTGTCCTTTTTGGGTTTTTAAAGCAAAGTTTTCTCATCTTTTTTTCTATCATCCCTGATGTATAAGTTCATATGATACAGTACATGTGTAGGGCTAAGGACGCTGTGGGATATTAAGTTGGTCCACAAAAATACCCCAAAAAACTTTTTAGTCACATATGATATTTATAGGTGAGAAATTAAGCCAAAACAAAGAATGGCTTAATTACTTGAGCCCTGGTCAGAAGTAAGATATGTATCAGTGGTTTCTCGAAAAAAAAAAAAAAACTTCTTTTTTTTTTCTCCATGACTGCTCAATGAATTGATTATTATGTTTTCTGAAACTTAACCTCTCATTCAAACCTTAGGAACAAGGCACAAACACATTAACATGTCATGTTAATGCACTTTGACCAGATACTTTAGGATAGGTCACTGCTTTGGCTATTGGCATAGCTGGACTAATTGTTGCCATGGTGATGTAAAGAGCTGATTTTTTTAGAAACGTCCTGTTCACGGCGGACCAGTGCCTCAGTGGTCCTGGAATACTCATCAACATCCAAACCAATTTCCTCTTATCTAAGGGTGAAAGTATGAGACAACTTCTTAACCCTGGCAAGACGGTTGCAGCTCCTAATGATTATTCAGTTTCTGAACGTACAATCTTGGAATCTGCTATTAAAAATGCCTCTGAGACTACCCCGAATTATATCAAACTATAATAAACTCTCTAATACATTAAAATTAGCAATATATGGTACAAAATTTCCATTTTCTTGTGTAAATGTTCGTTAAATGAGGGAAACCAAATAAAGCACACAGCAGGCCTAATGTTCAGCACAAAACACTGAACTGTTTCAGACTATTTAAGGTGTATCGTTATTTTCACACCTCTTTGTTTTGCAGTAATATGAAAAACAACTAAAAACGCCCTGCTGGATATAACCAAAGCGAGCTTTGTTTAGGATCATACAAGCAGCTTGTCTGCTAGTTTTGATTGGTGCACACCAGCATTCAGGCAAATATCTGACGTTTTACAACGTGCAGAGTGAAGGACGGACATGAAGAAACATTATAGAGTGACCTGACAAACATCAGCCTCCACGGATCAGTCTCACTTCTCCAGCACATTGCTGGGATCAGCTGACTCCTGATTTTCACAGTCATGCCAGCTGGTCATACGTGTCAGAGTGGCTTTTTCCACAACGTGATACAAGAACATAAGTTGTCCGAATGCAGCGGTTTAGAACTCATGCTAAGATAATGCCTGCATTGTCTAAAGACAAAAGAACACTGGAGACTCGTTTCACTTAGACACACAAACAAAAAGCCAGATAACTGAGCATATGTACCTTCTTTTTGTTTGTTTGTTTGTTTGTTTGTTATTCACCTGAAATCTGAAGAGTTACAAACTGTTTTAACTCATAACGGAATTGTTTAAATGGGTACAATTTGATTTCAGATAAAGACAGTGGATGCACCTTGGCTGGATTTTAATTCTTGGAAAGCACAAAGACTTTTACCGGTTAGGAGAATTCTTTATAATTAAAACTATATATAAGAACATAAAAATGGGGCGTGCAGATACTTGTAACATATATGACAGGTGGGCTGAATAAAGCATTAGGAAGGACCACAATTATGCTCCTCAAAAGAACCTAAATTAGAGCCCTTTCACCCACTGAAAACAGTGCTAGTAAATCACACGAACAAAAGAATTCAGACCTTGGTGGAGACTCTGTAGGTGATGTAGGTCTCCATGGTGGAGACGTGCTTCTTTGGGTCGTCAACGATGACGAAAAGGTCTCGGGTCTCTGTGGAGGCGTAGGGGTCCATGGTGTCGGCTTCCAGGTTGTCGTCCAGCTGCAGCCGGCTGAGCAGCAGAGAGGCGGAGGCCGGACTCGGCGTCTCAGATGGCGCGCCGTTGGTCAGCCCCACTTCCTGCGGGGACACGCGACACGCCCTGGTGACATCACACTCACATGCAAAAAAAACAAAGAGCTGCGCCGACAGGCTGACCGCGACGTCGGGAGTCGTTTTCCCCTGCACATCGAACTGAACCGTGAGTTTATGAGGATGAAATGGTACCTGTGCTGAAACAAGGGATGGTCTACTGGCTGAGGGCCTGGACCCGGCCAACTCTTCCTCACACATTCAGCTCAGGACAGAAACTTGGAATGAGGCGGACACTTTCCAGCTGAGTGTGAAGTGAAATGCCGCCCCTCCGTCACTCCCCTCTAAAGCCACCCCACACACACACACACACATACATACATACACACACACTCACAGGAAAACTCCCTCTTTCTTCACGCCGCTCAGCCTTTGCTGTGCACACAGAAAAACACACGGCCTGCTGCTGACACAGGTGCTCCGTTTCACAGCGTGCTGCCAACCTGCTCTGGTAATTACAGCTCATGTCCTTTCGTTTCACCCTGAAAAGAACGGCCAGGCTTTTCCAGCCGTGACACACCAAAACTACACCTGACGCGATCAAATTATTGATGCGTACAACTTTAACATTTTACAACCATAACTTTTTTAAGAAAGTGTTCCAAAGAAATACATTGGAGGTTCTTGCACTGAAATGGAAACTGCTGTGACAGGATTCAGTAGTTGCATGTCGTACTGTGTTCTCCAGAATGCTACTATTGTCTTTACTAGGGAGCCTAAACAGATTATTTGTCCATTGTGTAGTTTCAGCTGGATTCCTTTCTCGTTTAATGCAATCAGTGTGTTTAATTTGCGTTTTTCGGAATAGTTTCTTCCCACAATTCATTCTGTCTAGCAGCAGTTCATTAGAAAACACCAGAAAAGCTGAAAACAAACAAACAAACTACCCAGCAGATACCTTTTCACAGATTGATATAAACAGCATACAGGAGGAAAAGATGACGTAAACAAAACCACACAAGGGAGCTTTGGTCTTGATGTTTGTTTTGCAGCATCTGTAAAATCAATAATTAACTGTAACACAGCTTTTGCTCTTACAACTGTTACATGTGTGGGTAAAATGTTATGTCAAAAAACCTGCATGCTCCATCTTTGTATTCTAAAAACATTTACAGAAATGAAGTCTGTTTAATACAACTAATGCACATCAATACAACTTTAACAGACAATACGAATATGCCATGTTTTTCTTTATTTCATTCATGCATCTGTGACCTAAATCTAACTTTTTTGTATAACATTTTAGTCTGTTCATGTCAACCAAATGGTTTGGGTTTATGAGAGTAATTTAATATAAGGCTGACTCAAATCAAACTGATGGTCCAAGTTGAGCTCTAACCTTTCAGCTACTTGCAACAAAGCTCGATTGCAAACAGAAAGAAAAGGGGGGTGGGGGGGAGAAAGATACATTGGACAACATAAATGTATTACATTTGCTGCTGCAACCTTATTTGATTCATTTAGCCTTTCAACTGTGCTGACTGCTAGAAAACAGCTCAGTTAACAGAGTTTGGTGCGGTTCAGCATCCGGTCCACATCCCCTGTATGCTTTCAAACCAAGGCAAAGGTCTCGGTGAGGCCCCAGAACATCCTACCCTGTCCCCTGTGTAGTTGATGGTGACATCTGGCCCCGGGGACAGCGGCTCCTCTGTGGCGGACAACGGGTGTAGGATCTCGGTGATGGGCTTCTGCCCAGAGCTGGCAAGGCCTTTTGGAGTGCCAACACTCATCCCTGCGGAAGGCGGGAGAACGTGGCCGTGTCTCAGGTTAACGGCTGTCCGGTTCTTCACGACTTAAGGGTTTAGCAAAGACACAGAGTGCCTTTTTCCCCCGCTAAAGTCTCCTCAGTTGAGATGTTACACCCGCTGCTTGAGCACAACTGTCAGCTGACTGTCACTGCGCAGATCCGGAAGTTAATCTTCAAGAGCCCGGATGTAAACATACGTGTCACATGACAACAAGTGAAGAAGTACAATTCAAAGATCATCTATAGTGATGATGCTTGCAACAGGAAGGGAACGAATCACTTGCTTAATTTCACCGAATGTAATTATTTCAATAGAATAACAAAAAGTCACATTCATCTTTCATCTAAAAATGCGTAGCACTAAAACCAGTAAGAAGTTAAAAAAAACTTTATGATGTATCATGCATATGTAGCCTTGTCTGCATCTAAATCATACATATAAGTGAATCCATATATTTGGGAATAAAATATAGAACTTGGAAGAAATTAAATAAATAGTTTAATGTTAACGCTGATCAAGAAAATACATTATGTAAATTAATCTGGTCTACGAATAAACTGAAAAATGTAACCTTTTTTCTGTCGAATATCCCGCTGATCCACTGACGCCGATTTATTTTCTTGTTTACCGGAAGTGTTTACAGCAAAGTGAGACCTCTGTACTTTTCTTACTATCTAAGCCAGAATCACCGGCACGGCATCGTGTCAAAAAGCAAAAAAGCGACAAACGCCACACATTAAAACGAAACTTTTATGGTTATTTGAAACACACAGCTAATGTCCTAGATGTGTGCTTAAGCAAACCCCGTGTTCTTTCTATGGTCAAAGTTCAACCGTAATTTAACATCGGGGAGTACTTTCAGTGTTAACCGTTGTCACTCTTCCGTGTAGCAACATTAGCAGCAGGGTGGTAGAGACATATATCCGTTAAACCATTCGTATCACCCCTTTTGCTGCTAGTCATCTCGATTATTCCCACCCTGCCTTCTGTCACATGGCTGCTAATCCTCCAGGACAAGGTAAATGTTTAGATTTAACGATGTTGCCGTTTCAGTCCTATTGTCCTTTTCTGACTGTATGGCAGCAGGGGCGGAACTACAAACTCGGGGTCCCAAAAAGTTTTCTGGCTCCCGGGGCCCCCTCTGAGGATATTTGATGTTTTTGGGCATCCTGAAACTAAGAAAGTTATTAGAAAAATTTAGATATTGTAATTTTATGCTATATTTTTTATTTGATAAAAACATACTGTAAATTAAATGTACTCTAAAATAGAATGTCCTGCATTGTACATATGCTGAGTGCTATGTTAAAGTCCTCAGCACACTATCAATGCCTGTAGCATCTGTCCTGTCTATGTCTTCATTGTTAAATTATTTTTGGTATGCAGCCTTTCCAAACAAGACGCGGGTAGCTATCCTGGCTGAGCTGGAGAGGGAGAGGAGGCGACTGATGCAGACTCAGACCATGAATACTCCTGGAGCAAGGTATGGAGGTTTCTGTACATGTGTCTGTGTGATGGCACTGATGGTCTTTAAAAAAACAAACATTTTCTTATCAATTGTTGTCACGTTGTGTCTATTCAGTCTCTATGTGGTTGTTTTGTGTTCATTACTGGTTGTTTTTTCTGTCTTTTTGGAAACTAAAACATGTCTCCAAAGCTAATGTACCAGTGACCTCTCGCTTTTAGGAATTATGAATTTAGGACATATTTATGCTCCCAATTTGCAAAAAAAGCAGGTTACATTTTTAAAGCACAAGCGGTTCAAGCCAACCTTCAATCAAAAAGGTTGGCTCTAACGTCTGTATTTGATCTGTTCAGCATCTCGCTGTCTAGGCCGAACATGAAGGAGTTCAGGGACAACGCGGAGCAGCAGCACATCGCTGCTCAGCAGAAAGCGGCTTTGCAGGTGAGACGCACAACCACCAAAGGTGAACTATGATCACTATTCCGTCTTCAGACACTTCACAGTGGTTCTCCTGTTGTTTCCTGCAGCATGCACATGCACATTCGTCGGGCTTCTTCATCACCCAGGACTCCTCATTCGGGAACCTCATCCTTCCTGTCCTTCCACGCCTGGAGCCTGAATCATGACCTGTGACCTCTCTTGGCCACGCTCCTCCCCCTGTTGGGAACCAAAGCCCAGCAACAACTCTAAAGCACCACATTTCTCTCGGCCTCCTCTCCCCAGTCTGTGATTAGCAGACAGCCGTTTTTCATGTTGTAAACAAACTCAGGGGAGGGTGAATCTGTCTGCTTAGATTCTAAAGATGGAACAAGCTGCAGAGTTTAAGCGAGCCTCCCAAAGAGGCAGAGGAATGTTGTGTACAGCCGTCTGACATTGTGTGTTAAACTGTCCAGAGGCTGCAGCTACGCTCCACAGACATGCAGTTTAAACTTTTCCTTTTGCGTTTCCAATCATGATTCCATTCCCAGCACATTCTGTCAGACGCTTACATTTCATCTCTGGATAGTAAAGATGATTCATTCAGCGAATTTGACCCATGGGCTTTTGTCTTTTTCAGGTAAAACGCTTTCATGGATACAAAGCTCTGGAGCTAATTTATTAAAAAGAAGTTTCTGTGACCAAGGCAAACTCAATCTGAGACTGCTGTTGGGAACAAGTACCTTTTAACAAACTGTTTTCATCCTTAAGCTCTGGTGACTACGATACTAAAACTTGAGTTTTAGCATGGTAGATGTTTTACTACCACAATGGCAGTGGTTTTCAGTAGCATTTAGTTCTGCATTTGTATTTCTTTGTCTCTTATAAAAGTGAGTTCTTTAGGTCTCTTATTCATTCACTCAGAACAGAAGCAGTATGTTAGTAACTGAAACAATGAACATCAATTTTTATTTTGATGTCAGCCTTAATGGTGTCTTCCATTAGTTGCCAGAAGGATGGGCATCATGCACTAACATCTAATTTTCTTTTCCCTCCCACTGCCCCCAGAGTGTCAGACTTGCAGTGAGACAGATTTGTTTGCTATTTTCTAATTCAAAAATCTAAAAGGCCAGAGCCAGCATGAACTACATTAAAGCTCCTGAGGGCGGAAATGTTTTCCACTAAGGGGAAAGGTAATGGGGAAGCAAATTAGCAAAACACGTGGTGGCCTACATTTTCTGAAATGCGTCAAAATGTGCCAGAGAATCCAACAGGACCGAGAAGAGCAGCGTTTAGAATTACATCGTAGAATTCAGTGTATCTTCTGGAAGCATCAATACTTTAGACTGTCCACGATTTAGTTATCAGTAAATTATGTATTTAAAACATCCCTCTCCTTATGATCAGAGCATCTATTTTAACTCTTTATTTTTCTTAAGACTTTTATCTGTTTAATATTGCATTCATCAGCACATTGTATCACAATTCTGCAAAAGAAAACAACGGTTTTAGAGTGATCACATAGTAACATACTCACAATCTTCTAAGGTTCAAAACAGATAAATAAACATTACACCTTGCCATTTTTATAAAAAAAAGTTATATTAAGTCAAAATGGTCATGATAAACCTGTACTAATTCCAAATAATTGATCAGGTAAGTAGAAGCTCCATATATTTAAAACAGATCATCAGCAGATGTGAGCACCTCTATGAGCTGTCTGAAGTATTCAAATATTTATCAAAACAGTGAGGGAGCAACAAGCGATGACCCTCATCAAATAGTTTACATAGATTGTATAAACTAATATTATGAACGAGTTGATAAAATTTCATTAAGCATTACTGAAAGGAGATATTTCTGCAGGACTCTCTTTGAGTGCGTGTGTCTATGAAGTGGGTGATATTTAGATGTAGAGCTCGCAGGTCATTAAATTGGAATTGGAACAACGGCCTCTGGTGGACAAAACGAGAAACGCATGGGCGAAATTAGTATATTTTTATTATACGATTAAATTACGTTTTGAATAAAATTGTCTTTTCTATCATTAAATTATTTATCTACTTGGTAGAAATGACGTAAAATAAATACACTATTGGCATCTATCTGCTGCACACAGACATAATAAGGCCCTTCCTCTGCTTTAAATTCCTCTTCAGCCTGATGTAGACTCCATTTACTGCATTTAATACTTTTTTATTTCTCCCTATCAGATTTGACAGGCAAACACAGCTCGAGTGTCGTACTTGGCACACAGTTTTGGAGTGAAATGGAACTTGTTGCCATAACTTCTGAAATCCTCTCAGACGGACTGACGCATCGCTCCCAAAAAAAAAATAGGCCGTCAGTCAGTTACACAACACCTTTGACTGCAGATGGACTTTAAAACTTAAACAAGACGAGCGCGAGTCGCTTTCGTATAAAACTTTAAAGGCTCACGCACTTTTAAAAAGCTCCATCAGATAAATTTGGGGCTCGTTCAAAGAGACGCGACGACGCGCAAAGCGGCGCAGTTAACCTCTCCTCCCAAACTCCCATGAGTTGATGTGGCTTTCTCTCATTAAAGTCTATGGCTTTTCCATGTATGAACCGAGCGACATGACCGAACTTGCAGCTTGCTCCTCCCTCCGTTAGTCAGTCAACTACGTGTTGAGACTGGAGCCTTTAACAAGCATCTCCGACGGAGGAGGAGGAGGAGTAGCGGGGAAGAAGGACTTCACCCCGGCTTGCGTCTATACGGGAACGAGCAAATGCACAACTGTGGCGGGTTTGTCAGCCTCCGAGCGTAAATCCGTGCGTATTTTTCGGGTCCTAAAATATGAGCTTTTTTTTTTCTTTCTCCGTTTATGCGACTTGGACCTCTGCATGGAAATAAATGATATTTGAACCCACCGAAAGGAGCGGAGAGGAGGTGGGTGTCGGATTCGAGGCTTTGTGTTTCTCGTCTTGCTTTGTGCTTAAATAAGAGGGGGGGAGCGAGCTTGTTTCGTTTGGGCACAACTGGAAAATGGGTTTAACAGACGCCCCTGCCGCTTTCCAAAGTTCCTCAAGTCCGATGGAGGTCTTTAAACTTTAACCCCTACCACAAAGTTCTTGAGGAAACATTGTGGGGTAGAGAAAAAAAAAAAAAAGAACGGGACCCACAACCTAAAGCTCTCCAAAAACAATAGCAGCAGCTGACATAATGGCTTTGAAGGCCAAAGTGTTGTACGACTTCCACTCTGAAAACCCGGGAGAGATTTCCATAACCGAGAACGAGACGGTGACTCTGTTCAGTGAGGAGGAGCTGGAGGGCTGGCTGGAGGGGGAGAACAGCAAGGGGGAGGCAGGTCTCTTCCCCGCTTCCTATGTGGAGATCCTAAGAGACCACATCGCCTCTAGCGCCAGCAACAACGGCTTTTCCTCGCCCAAAGCCCAGTCCCCCGCCCACGCCTCCTACACCTCCTCGGACTCCCAGTCTCAGAGGGGGTTTGGGGCCGGCAGCGGCGGGGGGAGCAGCTTCCACACCAGCCAGGGCAGCGACGACGACTGGGACGACGACTGGGACGACGGCTCCCCGGCGCCGGACGCCGCCAAGGGCCTGGGCACCAGCCCCCCCCTGTACCCGGTCACCACCTCCCTGCCGGGGCGCGGCGGCGGCCAGCAGCAGAGCGGCCAGCAGGCCAAGAGCTCGGCCACGGTGGGGAGGAACCTCAACAGGTTCTCCACCTTCGTCAAGTCGGGAGGCGAGGCCTTCCTGCTGGGGGAGGCCTCGGCGTTCGTGAAGGACGGCGACCGGATCTGCGTGGTGATGGGGAAGCACGGGCCGGAGTGGCAGGAGGACCCCTACCCGTTCACGTGCACCATCGACGACCCCACCAAGCAGACCAAGTTCAAGGGGATGAAGAGCTACATGTCCTACGGCCTCACCCCGACGCACACCAATGTGCAGGTCAACCGCAGGTACGGGTCCCTCCCCCCTACCTTCTACTTCTTTTCCCTTTATTCTTTCACTAGTTCTACCAAAAACATTCCCCTTTAAGTCAGTGTTTCTGTCACTTTTCCTGTGACTACATTAGATCCCACACAATGGCAAAGACAGGTGGACTCTTTCCCGTCAGAGGCTTTCGCACTGTATCTGCGTCAGTCTTCGGCCTTTATTGGGAAAAAAAACTTTACTCTGCTCATTTCTTTTACTCCTTCTCACTGGGCTTTCCCTAATTTTGGCCTACAACACACAATATCCCATTCTTCAGCCCGTCCAAAAGGTCCTTAAACCAGCCCCCCCCTTCCGTCCCCCCTGCAGGTACAAACACTTCGACTGGCTCTACGCCCGGCTCGTGGAGCGCTTCCCCGTCATCTCGGTGCCCCACCTGCCGGAGAAGCAGGCGACGGGACGCTTCGAGGAGGACTTCATCTCCAAGAGGAGGAAAGGTCTGATCTGGTGGATGAACCACATGACCAGCCACCCCGTGCTGGCCCACTGCGACGTCTTCCAGCATTTCCTGACGTGCGGGGCGGATGAGAAGGCGTGGAAGATGGGCAAGAGGAGGGCTGAGAAGGACGAGCTGGTCGGGGCCAATTTCTTCCTCACAATAAGGTTAGTAGTCGGACTTTTTTACCAACGAAAATGTGATAGTAAATCCTGAATTAATATACATTTATAAAAGGGTACCGAGGACACACAAATCTTTAAACCAAGTGAACTTTTCTTTTCCTGCCATTGTTTGTTAAGGTCCAGCAAAAGGACTCAGGCACATTTAGAGGTGCTGGATATAAACAATTTAATCAAAAGGGGCGTCTAATTGTCAGGAATAGATAAAAATGAAGCAAGGGACTGTACTTGTACATGTAATAAAGATTATCTCATATTTGAATAACCCGTTCTCGCTCTGATTTCGTAACTTTCAGACTTGTTTTTCTAAGGAGCTCTCGGCACCATAGTTTTCGTTGTAGTGTCACTTTTCAAAACCCATGACGTCTTGTTGCAAGGCTCAGTCATTGTATACTGCAAGTTTTGGAGTTTCAAAAAATGCGAGGAGGTCAAACATGGTCGTTTTTTTTGTCCCCCCCCTGTCTTTTCTCCCCCAGCACCCCCGCTGTCCCTCTGGACCTGCAAGACGTTGAGAGCAAGATCGAAGGCTTTAAGACCTTCACCAAGAAAATGGACGAGAACATTGTTGTTGTCAACACGGCCATCAACGAGTTCGCTCGCAAGCAGATAACGGGGTTCAAGAAGGAGTACCAGAAAGTTGGACTGTCCTTCAAATTCCTGTCGCAGGCGTTTGAGCTGGATCAGCAGGCCTACGCGGTAGGCTTAAACAGAGCCATCAACTACACCGGGGAGGCCTACGAGGCCATTGGGGACTATTTTGCTGAGCAGCCCCGTCAGGACTTGGACCCCATTTCCGACCTCCTGGACCTCTACAGAGGACATCTGGCCAATTTCCCTGACATCATCCATGTGCAGAAAGGTGGGGATGCTGCGTAAGCATGTCTGTTTTTGTTCCTCTTTTAGAGGAGGGGGATAAGAGCTTCAGCTATGACTCAGAGACTTGAAATCAAGTCTGCGTCTCTGTTTCCAGGCTGTTGAAATGAGTTTATTTAATTATCTTTCATTTTATTTCCTATTTTCCCTTACGCTAAAGAACACAATTAACGATCTGTTCCGTGCTCTCTTTCTATTACTATTATAAAAAACAATCATCTGACTGTTTCCACACAGAGAGGAACATCTGCTTTCATTTAGCCAGATGCAGCGTCAAAGAGGGTTGAAAACTGAAACCTATGGCCCATTGTAACATCCAGTCTATTGCGAGGGCCAGTACTTGTTCATTTGAAAACACACAGGAGAACAAACATGTATATGCGCACACACACACAAACACACACGCACGCACGCTTAGGAACATTTGCAGAGCATTTCCAGAGTTAGCTCCTTAGTTCCCTGCAGGTTGGGAGGAGGGAGCTGCTGCTGGCAAACAAACTCCCGGCTTTTGCCAAAGCTAGAGGCACCGTTCTGTTGTCGGCCAAGCTCCATTCCCATCAAACAATCATAGCTCCAAACTATGGAAACACCCTGAATTTAAAGTTCCCTGTGACTGATAGGTGACACCTCTCTTTTGACCACTAGCACTCTACTTTCTGTCCCATAAAGATTCGTAAACAGATGCACAGATTTATTTATTTTGACAAACATGAGAAATAGATATTTAGAACCCTTCCCCCAGGCCATCCCAGCAAATATGTTGGACTTTGTATTCGATGGGACCCCCACCCAAAAATTCAATGATTCTGATAAACCAAACTAGGTATCTAAACACATAAAAATGACTGGAATAAAAGATTAAAAAAACACAACCAAAATAGCTTTGAACAAAGTCTGGCTGGAAAATGCATTTAAGCAGATCAGGCAGATCTCCACTGACACTATATGACTGGAGCCATTAACCAACTGGGGAACAGTGGGAATTATTCGTCATCACTTAATAGAGAGTGTTAATCTCTTTGTGCTGTTTGAAACCTTGTTTTTTGACAGTGCCAGCTAAGTAAAACCCCTGACCCCATTCGCTCACTGCTTAGCCTGCTCTGTTTTCCTGCTTGTGAAGGTCTGCATTCTACATTTATTTGTCCGTCTCATTCAGAGCACAGCTATCTCTACAAGCCCGGCTACACTGGAAAGAAAAATGTAGCGTTGCATCACGTAAGAGCAGACGACCTAATTTTGACTGCTTTACTTTTCCAGAAATGTCTTTTTTTACTGTATCAGCAGCCATAGTTCTGCGTGTGAGTGGCAAAGGTTACATCTGATTTGAATGAGCGGAGATTCCTGGGCCTCTTATCCCATGTTGCCCTGGGACTGAAGGAATGCAGAGTGGAGCAGTCTCAAGATTAGGTTCCCCTCCTCCTCTTTTTCTTCCCCCTTCCCTTCCTCCTTCCTCTTTCCTTCTGGTGGAGGTTTCCCACCAGCACAGCAGTACAAAAGGTCACATTACCGAACTTTTATCACCTTGTCAATGCGGAGAGCAGAGTCTTATTTATTTTATTTTTGTTGTTTAAGGGTACATTGTGCATTTAAGGATTGGCGTGAGAAAAAAAAAACAGAAGACACATAGAAAGAGAGCGTGGGTTTGTGAGATTAGGACCAGATTGCTCATCATTTCCCTCACATCCTGCCATCTAAGGGGCTTTATTGTGAGTTCTCCTTTGGTGGCTTTTCATTGGCAAGGCCTGTCCAAACCTTCCCCCCTCAAAAGTTGAGTCACAGTAAACATGAGACATGACTGGGTGTTTGGTCTCCTCAAGGAAATCTGAGGGGAAAAAAGCTTGAGGACAGTTGATTTCTGTTGAATTAAAATGAAAAACTTAGGGGTCTATGGAACATGAACGTTTGTCCCCCTTTAACCAAGCTGAAAAAGCTCAATAAAAGAAAGAAAATAATCAATTCTAGGCCACGACTTACTTTTTTCTCCTTTGTGAGTACTGATTTCACATTCTGGTGAGCTACAAGGAGCAAACAAGTCAAAATGTGTTGGACATATTGTAATTTTTTAAATTATTTCTGACTATCTTGTCATTCAACTATGTCACCTCTTCGATTTGCTTGGCTCGTTGCTCTTCTTCACTGCTTATGCACAGCATAGTTTCAGTCTGTGTTAGATGCATCAACATCTAGTGGCACAAGTCAAACCAGTCAACCCGTCAAACACCAACTGCCAAACCACAGTGTAGGCTAAAGGAGCTGCACAATATAAATGCAGAGCTGGATATTATAGTAGGAACCCTATCCTGAATCACACACCTTTTCTTTGTCACCAGAAGTTGGTTTCTGGGCTTCAGGCACACCTGGTTTGGGGTTACTTTTTTAATATAAAAAAGCAGATCAGATTACTTTTTGACAACGATTTGACTATTTTAACAGACCTGAAGAAGAAGGAAAACTCCTGATTATGGGTGGGAAACAGTGGACCCTGTCTTTACCATTGCAATGTGCTAAGGGGCTTTTGGGAGTTTGATGATCCAGTCTGCACATGCTTTGTGAAGAGGGCCTATGACAGTGTCACTCTTGTTCATTTGCGAGACCATGGTGTTTGAGAACTGTTAATGAAGGACATCTGCTCCTACTTTATTCGGGATCAGGGCAGCGACTGTATTCTCGTCTCAAAAGCAAGCCCTTATGTAATCATTAGAGGACTTATTGAATTCCTCATCTAATTCCGCCGATCTTTTCACAGGTGCGCTGACCAAGGTGAAAGATTGTCCGAAGCAGGAAGGCGAGCTCCACGACCGCTGTAACATCATATCTTGTGCCACACTGGCAGAAATCCAGCACTTCCACCGCACGCGTGTACGAGACTTTCGCTCGCAGATGCAGCACCACCTCCGCCAACAGATCAGCTTCTTCCAGAAGATAACCGCCAAGCTAGAGGATGCACTACAGAGATATGACGACGACCAATAGAAAACAGGTAAACGAGAGACTGGACTGTGAAAGCATAAAAGTTATCAATGGGAAGCCCAGGACATGAGTAATTGAGGATATGTCCTCTAGTAATACCTTTGAGAAAACAATAACTTGGAAACTTTGGCGGATTTTCTAAAATCGAGCACGTACTGGAGACTGGACCTTTCTCAAATGCAGGCCAAATGACAACTTACTGGATTATCTGAACAACTCTGTTGAATGTACCAGTTCTGGGGATTTTGCTGACTTTCCAGGCACATCTAGCAACTCAGCAAGACTGTTGCAGATATTTAAAACAGCTGCTCAGTAAACGGGGGGGCTGCTGTTTGAAACATTGTTGGAGGCCTCCACTGCTTCCAAGACCTTCGTCAGGAAAGTATGTAAGACATGATCGAAACAAGGACAAGAACCTCCCCAAATCACTTTAATATTTAGACTAGTTCAACTTGTATGACCTTTTTATCTCACAATGTCTTTATTTTTACTTGAATGACCTACTCAGTATTGTTAGATTGCACCTAGTTTGCGGGCTGTTGATAAAGGAGAAGATGGTATAATTTGGATTTTCCCTTTGGCTTGAAGTTTGACCTACTGTACTTCTTGCGCGCAACCTGTTTCATAACTCAGATTCTCTTTCAGTATATGGTGTTTGCCTTTGTACTTATTTAAGTACATATCCATGTTTTCTCTAAAGTATTAAACTTGAGTCTCTATTGACAATGTGTTCTGAATGTGATGGCTTGCATGGAAAGACAGAACCAAGAGTGTGTGGACTTTTTATGTGACTAGTATCTTATTCATTCTTTTAAGTCCATTTGTTTTTGTAAAGTAAGTGTTGAAAGAGGAAAGTGAATCCTGGTGCCAGCCCATTCATCTCAGTGTCTCAGACTGCTGTTTACCATGTGGTCATTTCAGTTTGTAGTTTAATGTTAAACCCTGTTTTTGTAAGTCGTTTTGGATAAAAGCATCTGGATAAAACGCATAAAATGTCATTTCTGATGCTTGATGAGGTCAGAAATGTTTCAATTCCTCACAGCTGCTTTGGGGATAGTTAGTAACCTTCTACCAGAATAAGTAGGCAGTCTTTTGTCACTGGGCAAAGAGCAAAGGTTAGGACCTCGCAGATGCAATCAGTATGCGTGTAAAACCTGGGAGCACATTTTTCATAAATAGCTGAGCTAACTCTGCAGCCTTTGAGCAATTACTTGTTTTTCTGGGATTAAAGTTAATTGAATTTACTAAAGTGGGACAAGCCACCTTCCTGTTTGTTGGTTTTAAACATGTTGTTCAGACAAGTTATATAATATAAGTTTTTATCAATGATTTATGTGTCTGGATTTCTGCAAATAAAAGAAAACAGAAGCTATGTTAGTTGTGTATGTCTGTGATTGGCTGTTTCCCACCTTAATTTTATTGATTTTATATATATATATATATATATATATATATGTGTGTGTATGTATGTGTGTGTGTGTGTGTATATGTAGAGTATTTGATGGGATCGTGACCTGTCTCAGATGTACCTTATGTCATAACTATGTCATGGCTAACTCACTACCCTGAATTAAGCCAGAAGAGTGAATCATTGTCTCTAAAACATTCCACTTTGCTTATTTCTTTCCTTAAGATGAGGCAACTTTGCCACAAGGCTGGTGTTACTGTATATTACATGGAAGTGTGGGCAAGCATTTAAAGAAATGATCCCTTCACCACAGAAACTTCAATGCCAAATAGATGGCATATTTTTCTTCCTCTTTGAGTTGCTTCCATTAGCGTTCACCAGACTTGATCAGGAGTTTTTTATGTTTCCTGACATCTGCAGCTTTTTTTTAGTTACACCAGACACCTGCAAGTGTTTCACTTCTGCTTTTTTTCTTGCTTGACAGACCAATCTTTATTTTGTTCCTTCCTAAAAGGGTCCTCAGTGAGTAAAGTTCAAGGAATATTTAAAGAAGTTGCATTCCATGCATTCTGAAGCTTTCTCTCCACTGGCATGCTCAGTTGAAGAGATGAAGATTTGGTGCAAGTTATTTATTTGGTGCAGATTAGTTTTCTTTCTTTAATGAATTGGAATTATGGCTACAACTAAACTGACTTTTGCTCATTTGGATTAGAATGGATGATAAATAATTGGATTCTAAATTGAATTGGATTAAGATGAAAGTACCATAACAGATTATGTTGACTGCCGGTATATAAATAAATGGAATTGAACTGATTTCAGTATTTTCCTTCATGAACTCCACCTGTCTTTTGTCAGCAGCAGCATCTGAACCTTTCCATGTAGGTGTGCTGATACTATACATTTATAAATCTTTCCTGCAACTGTTTTAAGCCCAATTCACCCACTCTGTGATCTATGGTTGACAAATATTGTTTGGAATGAATTTGCAATAATTTCACTCACATTTCTTAACTCTACATCCAGAACAAAGCAACCACCACATTCATCCGGCTTTTCCCCGGCTAGATAAGAAGCATAAGGCATTTTTTGTCCACTACCCTTTTATTGTTAGACCATTTTGAGATTTTTTTTGGTGTTAAGCGAAGTTTATACTGCAGGGAGGGAGTCAGTGTGAGAGAGTGATGGAAAGAATGAGAAAGTGATATCACTTGTTTTATCCCGAGGCGGCCACAGAGCTGGTGTCCCCGATATCTGACACTGCAGTTTACAGGTAACAGATCTGGAGTGCTTTCATTATTTAGAACTACCTCTCTCTCATCTCAACTCAGAGTTCATCCTTTTTCTGTGACGTATTGCAGAAAAAAAAGATGTTCATACTCCAACTGAGCCCACATTTTAATGTGTGGATCTCAACATGTGTTTAGGTATCACAGCAAAAAGCAAAGCCCTCATTCTGTTATGTGCTGTTCTGTTTTAAAAACTCAAGTTGGCCAAATGGTAATTTGATACAGTAACATGGATGGTTACTAAGTGATTTGATTCAAACCAGATTTCTCATGATTTTAGACACACACACAAAAAGTGATTATTGTGAAGATTCAAAATCACTTAATTTTAGTATTCATCCTGAGATAATATAAGAGTTTTGATATGTTTAATATTGTATTTTACGATATCCTGAAAAAAGTTTTGTGATAACAGCTCATGAGAAAGTTAGATATTAAGATTTTGATAGCACGTGATATTTTAAATGGCAAAAAAATTCTATGAAGGTTTGAGATCAATTTGAGTCATTTTAGATACATCGCCAATATTTATACATAGTCCAACTGTAATAAGACAGTTGACATATGTTAAGATTTTAAGATGCTGAGTCCAAATTGTAACGTATAATGTCAGAATTTTATTTTGAGGATGTTACAAGATCACAATTTTGAAATACTTTTCCAGATCTTTCAGACTACAGACTAATTTAAAATAAGAAAAGAACATATGTAAATTCCAAGAACCATATTAAAAGAAAATGTTACCAAACAGAACTAATTTAACTTTACTTGAGCAGAGATGTTTATTTCAAATGTTCTCTTTTTTTGGGGTGACTGATTCACAGGAGAGATGTTTTTTTTAGAAAATATATTTTATTAAAAATTCTCTTCACATATCAACAAACAGCAAATAGTACATAAGAGTTCAAAAGTGGCAAATAAAGGAAGCTACAGCTCACAGTAAATTATTAATAGTTTTTTAAACTCTTTAAAAGGAGTTATGTACCATTTTCAGGGCATTTAGTGGTGACAAAATAAGACAAAGGACACGTAAAAGTACAAAACAGCTTATAACACTTGCTTGCATAAGGGTTGACAGTACATTGAATACATGGACTTAGAAGCTTACAGTACCTGAATTTGTATTTATTGTAAAATTATCTACTGCTGACATACGTTTTGGATGAAGTAACAATTCAAATCTGAGAAAGGTTCAAAATGAGAGGTTCTCTTACCACTTACTCAACTAAATGAGGTCCATGCTAATAAAAATTCATAGTTATAAATGTAAAAGGACCATGCCCCCTTCCACAGTACATTTCAATCTCCCATCCAGCATTTCTTCAAAAATATAATCTTATTCATAAACATAATACTATTCATACATGTCATTCAGCCATCTTCTTAAACAGGAATAATTTAGTCATCATTGTAGTTTTCCAATATACACTGTAATCTGGAGAAACAGTGAAAAAAGCATTTCATGTCTCTCAGATACAAAGATGGATTAATGGTCTATAAATACAAACTGCGGCAAAGTTGTGTTATGTTAAAATTAGTTGCAGAAAATAGATTTTTAATGACGACAATGGCATTTCACATCATAGGTGCCAAAGATTACCCCATATGTCCCTTCAAAGTGTACATACAGTGAACCCTCTGTGACCACAACATCTCAAAGGCACGGTTTATTCTTTTTTTTTCCTTCTCTCACACCCAGTACTGGTTCTCTTTTAGACTCAGATTAGGGGGCCTAGATCTCCGAGGGGTCTTGAAACTTCCCGGGGAAACAGGGAGTGCGTTACGATAAGTTATACTATCTCTTTCGCTGCTATTGAAACCTCTGATATTCCCATCACCGCCTGCTAAATCCGATTCAAACGGCCCCCAGAAGGTCATCCCAGGGGCCAAGCTCCTCCTTGGAGTCATGGGTATTCTGGGGGACGTCGGGCAGCTCGCGGAGCCGAGTGGGGTGACCAGCACCGAGGGCATGGCCATGCTCCGCTCCGGTCGGCCCAGGTAGGGACTGTCGTCGGCCGGTAACTGCACAGCGGCCAGTTCGTGCATGAGCCGCTGCCGGGCCTGTTTCTCTTTGCGGTGTCGGAACACCAGAATCAGAACCACCAGGATGATGATGAGGAGCAAGCAGGCCAAGAGTGGCAAAATGATGAGGAGCGGGTCGGAGGCCGGGCGAGGGAGGATCTCCACGTGAACCGGCTCGGTGTTAGGAGGACTCACCGGGCCGTGGGGGTCTGGGTTAGGGGGAGGTGGGGGCTGTGGGGCGTGGCCGTGACCCTCTCCGGATCCCTCTGCGCTGATGCCCGGTTTTCCTTCCTGACTCCCACCGCGCGTGCGGTTTCCCCACCGGTTGTGTGGCCTCACCTTGCGGTGCGTTTTGTTTTGGTTTTTGTTGGACAAAATGTGGGGGTGCCCGCTGTCCCCGCCTGCGCCGTGCGCGGCCGACCCGCCGTGCCCGTGGCCCGTGGCGGTCCTGTTGTGCGTTCGGAAGCGGGTGCCGGGTTGATCGGGACTGCCGTGGCGCATCAGGTGGTGGGGAAAGATGGTGAAGTGGAGCTCGCCCTTAGCCGGCTGGACATTCCCGGCCTTTACCAGGAAGACGAAAGAATCGTTGAGGGGTGTGGCCGGCGCGTGGCCCCTGGCCGTGGCCAGTGTGGATTCATCGCCATCACTGAGCGTCTCCTCGATGGCAACGCGGCCTTGCACCACATCTCTGAATGTGAAAGACTTCAGGACCTCCGACGGTAGGTTAGGGTCATAAGTTATCTGCATGTGTGCACACACAAACATAGTAGAGGAGGGAGGTCAACAGCAGTTCACAATGCGGGTGGGATAGAACACATATTCCACTCCATCTGCTACAAGTCCTGCTTGTCCCGGAGAGATTTGTGGGAGCCACCAAACAAAAACAGTCAAATATCCATCCATCCATCCAACCATCCATTATCATTACCACTTATTCCCTAATGGGGTCGCGGGGTGAACTGGAGCCTATCCCAGTCATCAATGGGCGAAAGGCAGGGTACACCCGTGACAGTCCACTAGTCCATCGCAGGGCCACACAGAGTCATACAAGGACAAACAACTACTCACACTCACTCGCAAGGGCAATTTGGACTGTGGACTGTGGGAGCCGGAGAACCCGGAGAACCTGCAAACTCCACACAGAAAGGTCTTGGGTCTAAAACAGTCAAATGTTAAAAACAAAATACCTTACCTTCACTAATTTTCCGTGTTTCGGCGGTGAGAGAACCTCAAAGACCGGGTCAACCCGACTGATCCGGGCCAGCTGAGAGGCGTCGATCATGGCTTTCCCCAGTTTAACAGCAATTCCGCTGGGGACTTTCACTGGCTCTCTGAGGTAGACCAGGGGCTGCACTGTCACGTTCACCGTCTGCCCCGTAACGTTGCCGTAGTCGACGCCAGGGGACGAAGCCGACACCGAGATCTTGAAAGTGTCCTCCGATTCACTGAGGTCAGTCATGTGGTACACAACTCGACCGAACTGGAGATCCTCGTGCCGGAAAGTGCTCACCTCCTTGTCGTCGATGGCGATACGGCCGTGGCGAGGGTGTGAGGTAACAGTGTACAAGATGTTCCCCTGGGTTTGACCATTGGTCTGGGCCGCGAGCTGGTTGGTTGTCAGGACCACTGCGGTGCGGCCTTGAACCAGTGACAGGCCAGTGTTGTTTACAATAGACACAGAGGGTTTGATCACCTCCAAACTAAAAAGCTTATAGAGAGGACGATGATGGCCATCAGTAACGTTGAAGTAGAACACTCCTGTTGAGGGGTCGCCCTAATGGATGAGATTTTGGAAGGAATGGTGAGAAATTGTCCTCATATGCAACAAATAAGTTAATAGTATTCTAAAAAAAAAAGAACAAATATGAGACATGCTGTCCAACTCAAGAACAATGTTTTCTTTGGGACAGAAAAGGCTGAAAGTACTTTTTCTCAACTTCAAGCAATTTTTAAGTACTTGATGGAACCTCAAATGTAGTGCATTCATGCCACAGGCAGGAAAGAGCTGATCTTATTCACCTGTTGTATGAAATGCAGGCGGCCGTGGTTGACATCATACTGGGTGAAGGAGGTCACAGTTTCTGGCCTTTCTCCCAACGTCAGGTAGCCATTGTTGGGTTTACTGATCACAAGATAGTGCAGTTCTTCTGGGGGCGTGTCATGATCATCAACCTGGATAGTGTCAGGAATATAAGCATTGCTTTTTAAAGGGGAAATAAGGGGAAGAAGTCTTTTCACAATGGTTGACTCGCCCACCTGGAGACTGTCAGGTCCAATTACGACTCTTTCTCCAATCACAACTTTCATACTCGGGGCTCTGCTCCTGATTAGCGGTGGATGGTCATTCACGGGTGTCACTGTGATGTTGAACATCTCTGTCACGGCCACGCTTTCTTTGTCACGGTGGCGATGAGAGACAGCATCAAGGGACGAGAAGGAAGATGATGGTAAAGATGAGTAGCGAGGGGAATAAGAGTTGGAGGAATCGGAGGAATAAGCAGACAAGGATGACGATGAGGAGGAGGATGAAGAGGAGGATAGGTCTGAAGGAGCCACCCAGGCCCGGAAAGTGAAGCTGTCGCTCGTGGTCTCCGAGTCATCGTGGATGTATGTGATGCCAAACTTGTTCAGAGTAGCCTGTGAGAAGTCTGGGTGGTTCCTGAAATAAAACAATAAACCAAAAGTAACTCTTAATCTTTCCCATATGTTAGCCATGCTGCATTCAATAAAATGTACAAAAACAACACGTGGAAATCCCCTGTAATAAAGAATTGATATTCAGTATAATAGTTATTTAGATTGGCATATAAATTTATTAGGTCTCATGTATGCTCACTGCATTATGTGACTCATTTACCAACTTCTTTAATCCAAGCAGAAGAACACATGAGGTTCAAAGTTAAATGACCTGAGCTTGTTGGCCCTTTCAGGGCCTATGCAGATAAGCAGAAAGGACTTTTTTGAGTTGTTTATTTTGAGTTGTTTGTTTTTTATTATTTCTGCTGTGGATTCTGTATAAGGTTCGTAGTTCAGCTACTACAATGCTGTTTTTCTATGGATCCACTAAGAGCAGAGCCAGCGCACCTCGTGAGGTTGTGTCCCCGTATGGTCAGAGCTCCATGTCGGGGATGATTTATCACTCGGTACATGATGTGGTGGTCTTTCCGGTGGGACTCTGGAACTTTCCCCAAGAGATTAGAGGCATCGAGCTTAGACCTGTCTATTGTTACTCTGCCTCCCTCGGCCACAACAGCACCTAAGAGAGAGGTAAAGACGAGTAAATTGAACTTTTTACAGGTGGTCCATGTGAAAGAAAGTCAGTACCTGCATTGTTCAGCAGCCTGGTCTTGCTATGGCGGCTGTCTTGATGTTCGTTGGCTTGGTAGGAGATTAAGATGCTGAAAGTGTGCGTTGGAAGGAAGGCCGGAGGAGATGATACGGTGAAAGAAAAGGAGTCTGCAGCAGACCACCCCACTGACTGTGGTTTGTTCTGATCATACAGGATAACCCCATCCCTGACCTAAGAGAAAGCAACAAATATAGACCGAGAAACACTTCTGATCAGATTTAACTTAGACAAGGAGAAATGCGGTTTTGAAAATCAAAATTATGACCATGTTTAAAATTGATGGACATTTTCAGATATCTATAAAAAATGTATAAAATCCGGATATGAATGGTGGATATGTGTAAATGACATTTTTATTACTCATTGTGTACCATGCGAAACCATGAATTCGCATATTTGTGTAACTGTTTTTATAACTGAAACAGGACAGTTATTAATTGCAGGTAACTGAAATGTTCATTCTTGATAAGAAAAAGTGTGATTGTGTATATATAATATTGATAACATAACTTGCATCAGTGAAATATGATGTCCAACGATGAAAAAACAATTCTTTTAATGAAAAAATCAGAGGATATTTGGATATTTTAAATATTAATTTCAACTGAGAGAAATTCATTCTCAGAACAGTATTCTGCACATTTCGTTTAATTTCTCATCCTTTTCTCTATCCTTTTCACTCATCTGACCAAAGGGGAAGAACATAACAAGGAGAAAAACGTATGCTTGGCTCTGATCAACACAGGAAAACACATGTGTGCCAACAAATTCATACCATGGCCTGTGTGAATGTGGAAATGCTTCTGGAAGAGTTATCGGGCATTCGACGGATCAGGCGGCCAAGTTTAGGAGGAGCAGTCACTGCAAAAACCACAGACTGGTTTCTCCTGATGTCACTGATATTGTTGGTTACAACCTTCAGTTCCTCCTCTGTGATTGGTGTGACAGAGCCTTTCATGGGAGCAGAAGGCACAGTTAGACAAAGGAAACGCCCAGCAACAGAGCAGATGAAGAATGATCCTCCTTCAACTCTCCATTTTGAAATGGTAATGATGTTATGCACTGGGTGAGAATTGACAGAAGAAATTAAAAGTTAAAGACAACCAAAAAACCACCGGTCATTAGTATGGAAATGTTATGGTTTCACCCTTTAAAACCCTGTCAGTTTTCACTTTAGTGCATTAATGATGGGAACCAGAAGAAGTTTAATTTCAGTTATGATGGAAGTCTCTAAAAAGATGCAAAATTGTAACATGATCCATGTGTTACATCTTATATTCTTGAAAGTTTCTTCAATAATGTCTCTTTCGAGTGGATGGTCAGAGCAGCAAAGCCCATGTGTAATAGAAAGAGGCAAAAACAGCCAGGAACGCAGAAGTAATGCAATATAGTTTGAACTAGCTTGTTTTTTTTTCATTTGTAACCCTGTTGGATTATATAGGATACCTGGATAAACCTCCATGGGGTGGTTTCTCTGCAGAGTGAGGACAACAGTGTGAGCTGAAGTGCTGAAGATCTGCCGAGGAGCAAAGTTTACGCCGTCGTTCACTTGGAAATGAAAACCCCCCGATAAGGCCCCTGTTCAAGAGACAGCAAAGAGTAAATTTTGTACGACCGTAAGCTTCTGTGAAATTCCATAAGGAAAAGACACTGCAATATATATACTCACCACTGTGAACAAACAGGAGTTGCTTGTTTTGTATGTGACTTTGGGTAAAGTTCAGGATGTGCCTGGAGGGGGCACTCTTCAGAGCTAGGTGGCCATTGCTGGGTGGTGTGACCACAAACTCCAGATCCTCAGGTGGAGTATCGGCATCCTCAGCACACAGGTCACTCATGGTTATTTCCGTTACAGAACCCACCCATACCTGAGAAACAGAAGGCATTTGATGTAAAGCACATGCTGAATTTCTAAACAAAATAAATATTTTCCATGCTTAAAATAACCTGCAGTGAAGTGGCAACCAACACAGAAAATGGACGGAAATAAGAGGAAATGACTCAGTAATCAGTTTCTTTCAGCTTAATTTCATATTAGCAGTAAACTACATTTTCTCCAAATTCTATTTTAAGCTGAGATGAACATTTTGCTATTTATTGCGTCACATTTAAGTCTAGTTCTGCCATGTATGTTTTTTTTTATTTAAAAAGAAAACACATTTTTCTTTTCCAAATTCCAATGTGTTCCTGCTTTTGTGTGCCATGATTTCTAAGGATGACTCAGTGCAGGCAAAATGCACTTGCATCAGGACCTCTTTTCATGTTGTTTCACGTACACAAAATATGATTTTGCATTGTTTTTCTGAAATAAGAAAGGATTTTCTGACTGTGTTTTTACAAAAGAACTGCAGTCAGAATGTTTGTGGTATTTATCCTCCACACAGATATCGATCTAGATTCTCATTTTAAACAATGATGTTTAACATTTTACATAATTAAAATGTTACGTTTGAGATTTACAAGTATATATATTTACCGTTTTTGGTTATGAAATTGAAGTACAATCAATCTACACATTGTGAAAAAGTTCTGAATTGTTGTGAGAAGTATCCACATCCATGCTCCGATGCAATTAGCTAACTAAAATGGATTGATTTATCATCTAACAATCATCTTCCCTGTGAAATTTCCTACCTTAAGACCCTTATTGCTGGTAATTACTGGAGTCTCGTCGTTGACAGGGGTGATGTTGATGTGAACAGTGCATGGCAGGCTGTGCTTCTTTAATTCAGTCTGGTTGCCAACAATGGTGAAGTTGTCCCTCAGTGTTTCACTGCCATCGTGGACATAGGAGATGTATTCCCGTTCCACCTCAAAAAAAACACACACAACGATGTTAAGCAGTGGACATGCCAGATTACTAAATAAGGAGGAAAACAGTTTAAAAAACAAAGAACAAGCACATACCATTGAAACAAAAGCCTGTTTAATCAAGTCTGCCAATACTTAGTTTGCTCAGAAGACCACAAAGATAACGAGCATCAAGAGACTCATTTTAAGTGAGCTAGATTTGAAAATGTATCGATATTAGATGGGATGCCATTAAAGGTTCTGGCTGTGCTCTCAGACTAACCTCGGTGTGAGTGAAAGCGTTGATGGGCATTCCTGGGATGCGGCTGTGCTCCAAGTGTCCAAATCTCGGCGGAACAATGACCTGGTACAGGAAGTTCATCCCCGAGAAGTGATGACTGGCGACCTTAATGATGTCAGCCGTGAGAGGCACTGACGACCCCTCATCAAGGGTCAGGTCAGATAGCTGTAGAATCAATGAACAGAGGAGCACCCATTGACTGTTCTGTTTTCCTTCTTTTATTTTGGAGTCACAGGGGTCTCTAAAAAGTCCTTCTGTGTTTCCATGCCAAAGCTCAATGAGTGCTCGTGCAAACATTTTATACCTGCAGAGGAAGAAGAAGCGGTATGATGTCAATCTCTAGCCTGATAGGTCCAACCTTTGTCACCCCATTGGTCGCCTCCATCTCAATGGAGTCATTGGTGCCTCTGGCAGCCTGCTGGTGGTATACCAGAAACCCCTGGTTGACATCTTCCTGGGAGAAGGAGGTGGTGGCCTCCTGCCCGGCAGCCTGCACAGATGAATGGTTTAGAGAACTCCTCAAGCATGTTTACACATCTTTAATTTAATCATCTAATTCTGCTCTGGAACATCTCTCTTGGCCAGCACTGCACAAATACAAAACAAAACCCTTCGACCATTGATAATAGATGTGTATTTTTTCAGCTTTGCCACCAGGAGGCAAAAGATGGAAAAAAAAGAAAAGTAGAAAGAATGAATGATTACTTCATATCACCATTAATTAATCAATTAATTAATTAATCAAGTATTTATTTTGTAATCAATACAGCTTGGCTTCACCAAAATTGCAAAAATGCTAAATGTTAATAATGAGGCCTCAGAACAACATGGAAATGAATCTGGTAAACATGCTTGGTTATTGTTTAAGAAATTATTTTGGTTGCTGCTGATCTCGATTTACCTGGTAATGTGTATTGTTGGCGGTTAATCTTTGAATGGTGCCCAGCGAGGGAGGACTATGTATAGTAAAAACTATCTCTGAGGGTTGGCTGTCCTCATGGACAACCTAATTGAAAAAAATGAAAGCACACATTTTTTGTAAATCCTGCATTACAGAGTACAATTGATGACTCCATAATAAAGATACACACAAGGGAATTGATAAAGGGAAATGTTTTGTCATAATTTATGTACAATGTATTAGAAATAATGTTTGACTTACCTCCAAATTGTCCCTGCTTATAGAAACATTCTGTCCCTCTTCCACCACTACAGGGTTATTTGTTTTGACAGTTGGTGGCCTGTGATGACTCTCGAGGTATATTTTTACTGACACTCCAATATCCAAATGCACGTCCCTTCTCCCTCTTTCCAGGTGCTTTCCTGTGCTCCTTTCTCTTGCTCTGGCGGTCACATTGAAAACGTCTGACAACTCGTCGCCTCCACTGTGATGATACGCCAGACGGCCTGCCTCCAGGTCTCGCTGGGTGAAAACTGAAATCGCATCGGTTCCTATTATTGTCTCCCCCTGTCCATCACTGAAGCAGATCACACCGTGTTTCGGTGGAATGAAGACTTCAAATGTAACTTCCTGGGGGTTTCGGATGTCAAGGTTGCTGAAGACGCTGAGGTTAGCGGAAGTCAAAGCTATAATTCCACTTTGCTGGACCATGAGACCCGTGTTGTTCTCCACCTTCAGGTAAGGATCCTGAGCCATGACCTGTTTGAGTGGGTACCATATGTCCGTTAAAGAACACTTAAAAATATTCATACACAATAAGCACCGCATTCTTTCTCCTTTCCTTTGTCATGAAAATATTAATAGCTTCTACATCAAATGAAAGTGATATGAAGATGAAAGTATCATTCTCACCTCCAGCAGGGCTGAAACATAATGTTTTCCATCTGTTACGAACAGCACAAAACGACCAAAACTCACCCCGCTGTGGATGAACAACACCTTTTTCTGAGCGGAGAGAAAACAAAAATATGTGTCAAGCGGTCAACATAGAAAACCTATGGGAAAAGCCTATGGGAAAATTTCATGGTATTTACACTTCCAAGGTTGGTTGATGCACTTTTACGATGGAAAATAATTTTCTTTCCGCTCAATCTACTTTGCCTCGTTAAATCTACACACCTTTCGACATGATGAATGTGTCATCTCAGCCAGCAATATTCCTCACATAAATGCTACGTGCTAACCTGCTCAAGGTCTCGCTGTGTGAACTCGTACAGCCTTTGACTTGGATCGCTGGCCTGCACCAGCTCTCCCATAGGAATCCCCCTCCGGGTGTACACCAGCCAGCTGTCCTCGAAATCCGAATCATCGTCGTGATAACAAAGATCACTCAATGTAACCAACCGTTGGCCATCTCGAGCCACATGGAAAACCTTGTCGACCACCCTGACAGGTCTCTGATCGTTGACGAGTTGCACAGATATATTGAAGGTGTGCTCTGCTGTGTGTCTGTCCTCCCTCTTGTTTGCCTGTTTGTGCGCTTTGAGAATCACAACCTGGAAGACGAAGAAATCCTGTTTGGTCTCACTGTCATCGTGGACATACATGATCCGTTCCTCTGTTATATCCTGATTTGTGAACGTCACAATGTTGTCATTAATGGAGGTCGAGTTGGAGAGGTTGATCTTCCTGATCTGCCCATGCCTGGGGCTCACAGTGATGTTGTAGTGGACCTCCCGATTACTCGCAATGTGAGCGAACAAAATATCTTTCGTTATAACCTTACTTGCTCCCTCCAGGATTGAAAGGCCTTTGTTGACAAGCGTGATGAGGTTTGACTCAGCTTTGATGTTGATCCTGAAGTCATAAGCCGTTGAGCTGGCATGTGCTGAAAACACCTGAAAGCTGAAGGAATCCCTTGTGTCGTCGTGGAGCCTGTTGAAAAGTTCGTACTTTACCAAACCATCTGTGACGTTCTTCTGGCTAAAGGTTGAGTTCCTTTGCAGGGGTTTGCTGCTGAGAAACAGCTGACCTTTCTTTGGTAAAGTCAGAAGCCTGAAGTAGAGGTCACTCTCATTGAGTTTAACACCCTTAGAAATCACGTGGAGGTCCTCCGGAGTGACAACTGCGGCCTGAAGCCCATGGACCTCCATCTTGCTTCTTGTTAATTTCAAATGGATCCAGCGTATAGCTATGCGGAATACTAACTCATCTTTGGCCAATGAATTGATGATGATTTTGCATGTGAATTGATCAACGATATTGTTCTGAGTCTGAAGACCATGATAGGTGCTGACATATCGGATCCGTTCCTTTTCTAGAAGTTTCTGAGAGAAGGATGTTGTCTGTTTCCAGTCACCACTCGAGTGTAGCCTTTGGATTTCGCCGTACTGCGGCAACTCCACCACATCATACCAGACGTCCACTGTATTTTCAGCCACGTTAACTTGTACTGCAAGGTGAGTGGTGGTAATGAGAGAGGCCTCGCCCTGGTTCAACTCCAATCCAGTGTTATTCACGAGTTTGTGTTCGAGTGCCACGGCCATTATCCTCAAAATCACTGTGTTGCTCACCTGTGGAAAAGAGAAAAGATCATACTCGTAAAGATTAAAGAAAAACGGGCATGGTAACTTCAAGAAAAGTGAGGAATTCAGAAAAGGGGAGATGAAAGCCTCGGCACTACTGACTCTCTGCCCGTCGCTGACTCTGAGTGCCAGCCTGGAAGCGGAAACCCCAGTGTGGACAAAGCTGATCTTATCTTCCTCCAGGTCATTCAGGGTGAACATGTTGATGGGCCTGAAAGAAAGACTGAGGCTTGTTATTTTCCATTTTAACTTTTTTCCGTGTTGCTTCTTTTTCTACTCAGTCTCACAGCAAACCTCACATGGTTAAAGAGATATATTCAATATATCAGATCACACACAGTTTTCAGGGTTGATTTGTTTTACGTGCCATAATGTCTCAGTATTTGATTAAATAATCCCATGTTGAGTTTTTCAGAAAATTATAAACAACTTAAAATGGCCCATGAGGTATTTAGACAGGTGAAACAAATGGGCTGGGAGGAATGCCACACAAACCAGAAGTCAGTTTGAATTTGCTTTACATAAAAACACTTTAATGACACAAGAAAGAAAAGAAGTGTTAGAAGTGATTTGTCACATGACAATTTCATGATTTTCTGTGATTCTTATCTAGCAGTTTAACCTGATGCAGCATAAGAGCACCTGTGAGTTTTATTTGTGAGGTTTGTCATTTGCCTACGCTGATACATTTGATTACTTTCCCTAAGAAGATTTGAGAATAAATGAAAGCTTTGCAATCCATGGTACCAACCTGTCAGGGTTGTCCTGATGCTCAAGGTACCCAGCTTCAGTATTAAGGTTCCCCAAAGAGCTAAAAACCAGCTCTTCAGGGCTGCTGTCAGGGTCTGAGACTTTCAAAACATCGGTTGTAAACTGCGATATTGTAAAGGAGATCATTTAGATTGTGCTGCGTTGACATGACACACGTAGTTATGTAAATCTGTACTTACCTGTCGTCTGGATTTCTCAAGCAGGGTAAAAATGTTTCCTCCGGGCAGGCTAAGCACCGGAGGATCATTGACAGGAGTGATGCTTATGTTAAGACGGTGGTGATTGTTCTCTTTTAGAAACATAGGAAGCTCCTTGTTGTTGCTTGAGAACACTGAAAAAATGAAGAAGTCATCCTGGTCCTCCGAACCACTGTGGACGTACATCACTCGACCCTGCCACAGGTCCAGCATACTGAAAGTTTGGCCCTTCTCGGTTCCCACAGCGGTGCTCATCTCCTGTCCTTCATTGGGCATCCCATTCTGGTCTGTTTTGAGGTCAAACTGGAGCTGGCCGTGAACAGGCTGCTCCTCAACACGGAACATCAACTGAGATGGATGGATGCCCAGTTTGCGGAAATCCAAATTCACCTAGTGTGATGTGCAGACACACAGAGTAGGTTTCATAAAATATCTGAGAAAAATTCAGACAATTCAACAAACAGCAGAGGAAGACAACCCACCTTCATGTGCTTTGGTTCCAGTGGCGCCTGGCCTCCCTCTGCTACCTCCAGCTTTCGTAATAACAAGAAATTAGGGTTCTTCTTGTTGGTCATCTTCTGTGTTGTAACATCAACTTTAGCGAGACCTTTGGGGCTTGTGCTTGTCTCTGGTTGCGAAACTTGCCTCGGTTTGCAGCCCACAGTGATGTCCTTGGTGACCGTGGCATGTGGCAGGCCTGTTTGTTTAGTGTTCACCCTAATTTCTTGGAGGCAGCCTTGAAAAGAGCCTCCTCCTCTTTCGCCCGATGGAACAGAAGGCAATCCTACCCGTCTCGCTTCTGCCAGAGTCTCCTCGTCCAGTCCTCCCAGGTAAAGAGGACCTTTGAGCTGGATGACCTGAAGCTGCTGATTCAGGCTGGCCCTCACCAGCTCTTTGCCTATCTTCAGCTGGACACTATGGGGCAGCAGGTGCAGCTGGATGGAGTACCAGGTGTGGTTGTTGTGAACATTGGTCAGAGAATGCAACTCAGTTTTACTCACCCCCCCATTTCCCACTGAAACTACGAGGTGGCCCTCCCGGATCTCAATGGATACGAACCCTCCGTTGTTGCCAGAGCTAAACATGACAATGCCATTTTCCTCCTCGGCAGACGGGTGCAGGTCACACTCAAACACCCCCTCTTGATGCATCTCCCATGGCGGGAGAGAGATAAAGGCTTTAGAGGTGGAAAAACTGACAGGGTCCTCCTCGGTAGCCGAAAACTGTGGATCGCAGCCCACAGACACCTCATGGACTTTCTTGTATGTAGAATACGGCCTAAGGTTGGACAGCAGATTGTGTTCATTGAAGACAACTTCATCCATGCAACCTCTAAACCCAGATGAGGTGTTAAAAAGGTAGGGATGACTCAGTCCAGTGGTACCCCCAACAAAGAGCCCGCCCTCAATAGTGAGCTCCAGATCCGGTCCTGGCATTCTGATACTGTTGTGAGCATTTTGGTCCACAGCCATGATGACATTATTGTGTGTGTGGTTCAGCTGCACTGTGTGCAACTCCCAATCGCTGAGGTTAATGCCCCTTTCCGAGCGTAGCGAACGCTCACCTGAGCCAAGGTTCAGCCGTACCTGAGGGAAATTGGTAGAGCCAAGAAATAAGAGTGAGAAAAAAGGCAATAACAAACATGGGATCAAGGTCTTTTTCATTTCTGTTTCTTTGTTTGAACACAAACTAACATTCACTTTCACTCATTTCTGAAACTTTGAAAATTGAATTTGGAAAAAGAAAAACAAATAAATTATGCACACATAACACTAGCTCTACAAACAAAACAAAAAATCCACCAAGCTTAATGTAGCACTTGCATTGCATTGTATGTGGTTGCTTTATAAAAATGTTGTGGATTTTTGTCTTCAACTCAGTCATGAAGTAACTTGTCCTGAAATCAAGCCAGTGCTGGGGGGTTTACTTTTTTTCTCCCTCTCTGCAAGCTGATACCAAGACGAACATGTTCTTTATGACCCTGCTTTGGATTGTAAATGCCAATGTGTGTAGCTAAGGAGCTAAAGGGATTTTTTCTGTACTTGCTGTAAAGGTGTGAAGAATTATATGGGTGGAGGGAGGTGGGGGGGAGATGTTTTACTGTTCGGCTTTGTAGGCATTTTACTTAAAGTAAAAAATAAATCTCTCATTGTTATAACCCTATCATGAAAGACAGTGCCACATTTTTCTTGCCTCCATCTGCAGGTTCCTGTGTGTTTGTGTTAACAGAGCAAAGCTTACCTGCAAGCGCCCTGAGATCAGTTCCAAAAGTAAGAAGTCTTGCTGTCCTGCTGCCAGAAAGAGCAGCCCCGACTGACTCGAGGTCCGAAACTGAACATGGATTGATGTCTGAACGGACCTCTCTGCTGTCTCCAGGTGAATGTAACCATTGCCATAGAATGACACTGCAACCAAGAAAAACACATTGGGATTTTGAAGTGGTTTTAGCTGAATTAATTCATTTTCAAGGACTGCTTGGATTAAAAACCCTGTAATTCTGGGTGCCTCAGTGGCTTTAAAGTTGCAATACCAATTTGTTGAAAATCGCTCCATTAATCTCACTTGACTGACTTTGTCAATGTGGTGGCAGCTCTCCACTTTACCGCATTTATCTGAATTCAATTAATGGCTGTTAATGCATTCAAAGGACAGTTCCTGCTGAAATGTTCTGATGCTAATTATACTTCAGTGTTGACCCAGATGACGCAAATTGGCCTTTTAAGTGTACAAAATGCAGTGACAGGATCAGTACTTTGGTGCTCAGAAAACTGCTTGTCGACTTCCACCTCAAACACACAAATAATTGTTTGTATAACATCTAAGGTTGCTAAATCTTAGCGTCATAAAGCTTTCTTTGGCGTAACATTTGGTGCTTATTGCAAACTAACATGCTGATATTCATCAGGTGTAATCAGTCATGTTTAATATATTTGGTATATATTTAATACATTTGGTCCAAATTTCACAAAACACACACTTGGACTTGATTGTGGCTCCGTTTAAAAGATCGCAATTACTACCACTTATCTTAAATGTCTGCATCAAATGTAATTGCAGTGCATTCAACAATTTAAGTGCATTTACTTCAATTGTAGAAAATGTTCCATATTTTTGCATGGTTAAACAATTATTGATAAACCCCCGGAGCAAAAATGTCAAGTTACAGTGGGTGAGGTTGGACCGAAGTGAAGGCAGATAAATCACAGCTTTTAATGCATTCCTTTAGCACAACATGGTCCAGTAAACCAAGATACAGCCAGTAAACCATGTTGCCTTCTTGAGTTTGCATCTTTCCAAACATACAGTCCTATTAGTTCAAGCTGAGGCCAGTGTATCTTCAACAAAGTGTATGCAAAAAAAAACAGATAAGCTATATTCATTTGAATTGATTTGACCTAAAAAACATCGGTAATGGAGCACTCAGCCAAACGGATGGTCCATTTGTGCAAACAACAAAATACAGGTCAGAGAGCTGTGTATGTGTGTCTGCAGTTGTGTGCTGGTGACACAAAAAACTTTTCAAAGCTCTATCTCAGCAAGGAGCACAACACTTTGAAATGACAGTGACCACACTTTATTATTATTAACCTCGCTATTGGTTAATGTGTGCATATGATTCATTCTGATATTCAATGTAATACCCATGTGAAAACCAAAGCTTTCTGTTTATTTACACATTCCCCAGTGACAGACCATTTTGATTTAGTTATGAGAAAAAGTGTTCATCCTCAAAGTATGTTTTTGCTTGTGGCTGCAGCATCCACAAACACGATTAAACTATTTGTGTGATAAGGAGCTCTGTTTATAATGGGTTCAAATTTAGCTCCGGTGGATTCAACCCTTACTTATTACAGTGTATACCACATGCAAACAATTCCTTTTGTTCAGTGATGACAATTTCAGAAACAGGACAAAAAGGTTTTTCACTTCCACCATTCAATTATTTTAGTTTTCTTTTATCTTTACCTTGTTTATACATTTTTCAAAAGGAGCTCATATTCTTTGCTTTTTTTCAGTCATTCCTATTTGTAGTTTGGTAGGGTATACTTATGTGTTATAGGTCTGGTTGCAGTGAGAAGCAGGCTGACCCAGCACACCGCTCTGCACAAAGCCTATAAGCCCACTGTCAGTATAACCAATCACCCATGTTTGTCCATGTATCTCTAATCTGCTTCTATGATATGAGTGCACACTGGATTATTTGTAATCTTCCTACAGTTGAAGACACCTTGAATGAGAATGCGGGCTTTTCAGATCGGGTGCGAGGATTCCATGGCAACTCTGAGGAAATACTGTTTTTCTTTTATCTGCTGTGAGTGCTGGAATTTCTGAGAGGTGTTCACTGTGTTAATTGATGTGTTCGCTTACAGAACGGACTAACTTCTCCAGCAGTTGTTTCAGTAGGAATGGATTCATGCAAGTAAAGCAAAAAGAACAACAGTCATAAATGTTGTTCTTGAAGGCACAAAAACTTGTCACAGGAAGCACTTTATGACCACAGCAGTGCCATATCAAAGTGGTGCAAACATCCAATCAAAATGTAATCCAGCATGCTGGCATGTGTTTTTATCAATGCTGAATTGAATTTAAAAACAAGCTGCCTACTGTCCTACACATTTTCAGTATATCCCCAATCCATAAACAAAGTGAGAGATTTAAATAGAGATGGAATTAACTTCAGGACACCAACCATATCTTGACGGGGGTTGTAACAAAATAGGTAAATGCTTGCTAACAGACATTAAAATCTATAGTTTTTAAATGTATATATAAGGATAATTAGTTTTAACCACGTGATAAGAAGAAATGTTATAACAATGTAATAAAGGAGCTGTTACCTTTGCATGCAACAGTTAAGACATGTGTTTTCTTTTTTTATTGCTGCAGCGCCTTACCTCCACAAACTTGCCGTGAAGAAATGAACAGGAGCAGCAACAGATCAGCCAGAAAACGTCCCATTATTAGTTAGGCTCTAATAGTCTCATCAGTCTTATTTATCAGAATTTAGTTAAGAGCAACATCTGGCTATTTGACTGTGTGGTCCATTATCCTCCCCGGAGAGCACGTGTCATTGCCATCAATGACAAGTTCCAGACTGCTTCTATTTGCTCTGCTGGCTTTGGATTACAGCCTTTAAAAAAAAATCTACCTGGGCCCGGTTTGAGAGCAGAGCAGAGTCTTGACGGAGCTCCACCCTCAGATCCTCCCATCAAAGAGCCTGCGAGCAAAAGATACGACCACAAGATGGAGGTATTGTTGCACTAAGTGAAAGGAGGCAAAGACTGGGTGGGTTCTAATCAGGAGTACTGTACTTCTTTAGAATGCGCGGGACATATGGTGGTAATTCTTGTCTAAGTGAGGCTGAAACTGGATCCCAGGTGGTGAACCAGTATCAAAGACACTGATAAACTTCTGCAACCTTTTTCTCCTCCTTATGTAATAATGATAGCAGAGCAATGACAGACAAAAAAGATAGGAAGTTGTTCGGTGTGTTATTCTTTACTCCCTTCTCTGACGTAATACATTTTGCACACCGTCATTATTAGCCTGGCTCACTCCAAAAGAGCTGTACTCCTACTCCATTCAATGTATAGTAAAACTGCCACAGGGAAGCGCTTTGTGTGCAGTTTTAAAAACACAACACTTTCACTTTCTTTGTAAATCCCCCCACAGTAATAATTCAGTTTGATAGTTTTCCCTCCCCCTCAGCTGTAAAACAAAAACCTCGTGAAGTGGCTGTGATAACCCTGTGTGCATTGTTTTCTCCCCGAGAGTAAACTGGGACAGACTCCAGCTCAACGTGACCCTCCAAACAGACAAGTGGGTCCAAATAATGGATGCTTAGATGGATGGAAATATGTGAATCGGCGCTCATTCAAACTCGGCCTGCCTTGCACTCCAGAGGAGTGCTGTGCTGGGGTTTAGTTCCCAGGATGCAGAATAATAGGCTCTGCGGCCCGGTTTTCTTAAGTGAAAGCGTCACACCCAAAATGGGTCATGGTTGATCTGGTGATGGGTCCTCTCAGGTTGAAACTAGTGGTAACTTTAATGAGCTTGAATCCCACGCTAGAGGAACTGCAGTCCCGTCTCTTGGCCTGGAAATGTCTTTAAACCTATAAAGCTCAATTTGTACCTAACAGACCAAAATTGATTTATTTGGGGTCAGTTTTGTTTTTCTCTTTGGGGTGGGGTGGGGTGGGTGGGTTGGTCTATATTCTGTGATTTTTAATGCTAAAGAGCTTTACAGTGTACCATCTTCAAATGAAACATTTACAGCAACACTTTCCTTTGAATCTTTTTTATTTATTTAAATTACTTACATCTCAGAGGATTTTTTTTGTAAGAAAAAACATGTTTGCCTTTCAATTTCACATAACAAGTTTGTACTGAGCACACTGAGGGATTTGTCTCAAAATTGCGTTACATATCCTGATGGAATCAATTAAAAAGTCTTGGACAAACTTTATTGCTGTGATTTTATAAAAGAAAACATAAAAACAAGCAAACAAGAGAGATCCTGCAGGATGATGGCATACAGCAGAAGTGACTTCCCACAAATATACTGTAGTCTTCTAAACAAAAACCTACCCAGCTCGATGAATTAGTTTAATCTTCTGCCGAGTTTAAAAGGCATGATGTAAAATATCACAGAGAAATAACGTTCGAGGACCCTGCGCATGTTGACGGCTCTCTGAACGCCGCGCCCACAGCAACAAGACTGGTTTTCACAAGTTAGGGAACAGGAACCACCTGGCTGAGGATCAGGCAAACAGTATGGAGCAGGAAGAGATACGGGGACGGGGACTGATTTAACTCCAGCAGCAGCTAAAACAACAAAAACACATCACAGACGGGGACGCAGCAGCGCAAAAGGTCTCAAATTCTTACTGCTTTTTCTGCGTCCACACATGGACATCTAAAGAAAACAGGGAGCCAAACCAGTTTCCCTCTTGGAGAAATAATGGCTGCCAGTCTGGTTTTGTTTCCTCCCGCTGCCCTCCATCCTTCCTTCCTTACTTCTGGATCCTATACACGTTGGCATATTTGCTCCTGCTTGTGCACGCTTTGGTTTCAGTTTTAACAAAGAGTTTGCTGTGTATCTATTGATTTTTTTTTTTTTGGGGGCACTGAACAAAGTGTAAAATGAGGAACAAAAAGCCTAACGCATCATCCACCTGTGCAGCCCAGATGAATGAGTCACTCTGTTTTCATAAAGGGTAGATAATGAGTTAATGGAAGTAGGCTCAGGACCATGCATGCCTGCTCCAGAATAAAAAACAATAACTGAGGGACACAGCCATTTTTCGGTTTGTGGGCAGATTGCATAAGAACACAGATAGAATAGAAAAAAAAGGGCCAGAGAAAGAGATGAATGCAGAAGTGAATGTACAGAGTCTGAGTGATCATGAGGATGAATATCTGCTTCATTCCACTGTCGAGGCCTGCTAGCTTCTGTTGTTGGGAATCTTTAGCATTTTACTTGAATATCATGACATTTTCAACAAAACTCATCAGACCGAAGCTGGACCAGTTTGTTGAGAGGTATAATTCCATGTATTCAAGTTCGTCTTGTTTAAACAAAATTTGATCCTTCAGACATTTTCTCTCCAATCTTCCAGCATTTCAATGTTGCTTGGCATGAAAAAGATACAATTTAATCACACACTTTATCAATGGCATTTGTGTTTTGTGTCTTTGATTATGGATGTGATCCATGTCCAAATCGACCTCTTCAGATGTTTTGGGGAACTTCTCAGTTATTTGATCTTTCTTTGCAAAAACATGTAACTTGACGCTGAGAGCAGCTGCCACCTTTGCTTGGGGACAACTTAGACTCTTTCTTTGTGTCTGTTTGTGTGAGTGTGTGTGTGTGTGTGTGAAAGTGATGGAGGTGTGAGTCACTTTGAGTCATACTTACTTTGCTTGGCTCATTTTTGAAGGGACAATACTATACAAGACACAAGAGAAGTCTGGAAAGAGACTATATTCTACCTCTACAGCCACCTTCTTTAGCTCACCAACAGAACAATACTGTTGGTCCAATGGAGACCCATTCCTGTTGGCACCCTGATGAATGAGTAATCTGAAAATGCAATTGAATGTGTTATCTCACCAAACATGTTCTAAAAATCCACAACCACTCCAACAACCAAAGAGCACATAAAGAGCATATTGTGAGCCACATAGGATTGCCCAGAGAGTGTACATGACCAAACCTCTGTTTTTCTGTATGGGAGTGGTGTTGGGAGACTTACTGGAGCCCAGTAAGTGAAGGAGTGGGTGTGTAAAGGTGGACACATAGAAAGACAGAATTGCCATTTGTTCAAATCATGTTTAAGACTTGACCTTTGACAAAGCAGAGAGAAAGAAATCTAGTCATTCGTGTACAGTTTCTGCTTTGTTCTCTCTCCAGACCACAGAATCATGCGCCCAAAACAATGTCCCATCTCTAGACATTTTCATACCTGTCCAAGTCCCCCAAAAAATTCCCAAATTCCATGAACACTACAAACATAATTACTCAATTCATTGGCAGATTCTGGTGTTCTTTGTAACAAAGAGTGGGAAATATCATATGGGCCAGAAACATGCATAAAGATCATGTTAGATGTATCTAATGTTAGGTTAAACATCTACAGACTGAGCTACTTAGTGCTTTGTGATACAATCCTACAGTTCATTTCACCTTCTTTGCAAAAGAAATGTCCAAAGAAAACAAAGTTGGGCAACATCTGCCAGATCAGCACTCGTGATGACAAGAGGCGGAAGGGAAAGTGGAAGGGAGGAACTGTGGGAGAGGAAGAAAGGAAGTGGCCTTACAATTATGTATTTCCAAGAGGATAATAATGTTTAAGAAATGGAAGAAACCTGGCCACTCACCAGGAGGTTTTCGTGCTTTGGTTCCTAGTTAGCTCTATTGAAGTAGCAGAAATGATTTTCTTCCAGCTTTCCAAAGAAAGTGCACAAGGAAACAATAACTTGATCCCCACATGAACCCTATTTGCAGAGTGAAATGAACAAAGTTTCTTTGTGTATGTAGGCAAAATAAAAACAGTCATTCTTTAAGTAGTGTCCATGTATAGGTACATTCATTGAAAACATCAATGACAGAGTTTAATTGAGTTTTTTAAATCTCTGTCAAGGTGGTCCAACACTCCTTCATCAATGTTAAGGTTTGGGTTCAGGGGAGGATTCATCCCTTTATAAGACATTTTTGCCAAAGATTTTTAATCAAGTACTTTTGGCATTCCCAAGCCTTTTTCTCCCTGATCCCTTTGCTAAGAATGGCTTCCTGAGTGCCACCCCTATCAGAACAGATAACTGTTTACATCAGTAAACAGTCCAGGCACCAGCTGAAGGCCCTGGTGCATCTCTTTGTATTATTTGTTTTGGTCTCACTTTAAAATTTCCATCCCATCACTATGACAAAAGTCAGTCTCCAAAACACAATGGCCGCCACCAGCTGGTGGCCTGACTCACAACAAAACCATCTGACCCTGCAGCCTCCCAGACTATACAACCTGTTCAAAAGACTTCTAAGCGAAACGGCGTCCGGGCTACTGCTGCTACTTCCCAAAGGCAAGAGCTGAGTCATGTCACTCTCACCGAGCTGGACTTATTTATAGCACAGCAAAGCATTCACACGTCAGGTCAGTGACATGCACAAGTCACGGAGGATTAACCGGACGATGTGCTGCAGCGCCTCTGTTGTCGGTCAGTTATCGTGTTGTCACCACACGGCCTTAAAAAAAAACAGATGAGGCTTGTTTGTGAGTTTAAAAAAGAACAGGTCAGACGTAACAAATCATGTGCTACGCCCAGATCTAATAGTCAGTCCTTTTTCATGACGCTTTCCAACGGTCTTTTTCCATGCAGCATCTGACCGCATTATCTATGCTCATGCAGTTCCTCAGACTTCAGTCCATTTACAGTGGTGTGTTCACATGCATGTATGTGTGCTGGAGCTCACACACTGAAGGTGCCGGGAAAGATACAAATGGCTGGAATGGAATGATTCCCAGGGAATATTCATACTGTTTAACCAAGCCACAAATTAACTCAAGTTTAACCAATCGTTGCAATTTC